TATGCAAAATCTGCCAGTGTCTTGCAATACACATGCACTGCTGCAGGCAGATGGAAAAATAGTCAAAGTTGGTTGAAAATAGTCCCTCTGTTTTACTTCGGTCCAAAGCCTTCTCTATATTCCGGCTTTGAGTAGAAAGATTGAGCTGCCTTGGTATTGTAAATCTTGTAAATCATTGTGTCACACGCACAGTAAATACGGCATAATAATATGAAATATACCTCTATGTATAGATTTGAGAAACATCAGCACATCTCTGTCTGAATCTATTGTTATATTTGATTTCTTTAAGCGAGAATAATTTCAAAGTTTCCTCCATTCAGAACTGGAAGCCATTTTTTAGCTACAGCGAGAAAATTTCACCATGTGTCAAACTCCGAAAAGAAATTTTGAAATATCTAAATCCAGACAAGCAACGCTTCATCCTAAATATAATTAATATTCTTAAAAATATTTATAAAATTTATTAAAAATGATTTATAGGTGCGTGTAGCCATTTTTACATACGAAAGACGAGTACATACGAAATCAATGAAAATTACATCTAGCTGTAAGCTAGAGACTCGAGTAACCTCTGTTCATCATAGATTCACTCCATTTTTTATAATAACATTTACATAATATGTTAATTTATTATGTCACCCAATCATAATTTTGTCAAAATATTACCAATATCAAGAAATATTAGAAGAAATCCCAGCGAAAGTATTCTGAGTTAAAAAGTTTTGTCGAAAATAGTCTAGTTCACCGCACGTAGGTTTATGAAATAATATTGTCCAATGCTACCAATCCAGTTCTCTGAATTTCAGAATCACATGAGACAAGCAAGCTACAAGAACCAATCACATGAATTAATTTTGCCGAATCGCCCACAGATTACAGAAGTTTGACCAGAATACCTCTTAGTTAAGCGATAAGGTATTTTCTAATAAAAATTCTGGTATCTGTGGAATCGCCACAATTGGCGATTGGTGGAAGCTGTTTGCCTGGCGTCGTGGTATGACTAGCACTGCCAGCACGGGGTATGCAATTTGATTTTTGAGTCCTACTATTTTTGAGTCATCTCTGCATGGTTTATACTCCTTGAGAGTATATCATACAGCTAGAAATTACAAACAAAAATTATTTTTGAAAAATAATTCAAATTTTTACCAGTTTTAAAACATGAATAGCATGTATATAAGCTCATCGATATGCTTAGATATCTTGATTTATGTTTGATAATATATTCATTAGCAAAACCTAAAAAAATATAAATAAATATACTCACTAAACAGTGGTTACATGTGCAAAAACGTAGAATGTTTACACGCTGCTAAGCGAATGGTAGCCATACTGGTTTTTCCAGCTTGTCACGTGACATTCAGTTAATCATCTAAAATAACCTTAGTTACAAATATCTGCATATCTAACCTATTTAAGTTCCAATTTTAGTTTTAAAATAGTTTAAATATGTGTTAGATTTTATTCAAATTTATTTCTAAAAGGAAAGAGAAAAGTTTTAAATTCATTAATTATTCACTCCTTGGGACCAAAACATTTACACTTCCGGGCTTCCGGGTTCTTGTAAGTTTTTAATTTTCTGCAAAATAAGGCTGATATCTTCACGTAGAGTATTGCAATATTTGTTATAATGTTGTATAAATGTTGAATAATATGTACTTTGATTAAAAATGATAAATGAAATATTGTGTGGGTGGACATGATTTAGAAATATGGGTATTCATTTTATTTCCTTTTTTGAATAATTTCTCCACTTCTCATGAGTTGAGGTCAATCAATCTGTGGTTATCTAAGGTTTATAGGATTCTACTGATGCTGCCATCTTTATATCTGCCCAAAACCTATGTTTAATTGATTGATATATGAATGGGTAGTGCTCAATTCTCAGATCAAAGTCTCATTTTTATGTCACCGCCAGAAGTGCTGAAATACCAGTATTGTTATAGTCTCCAATTATTTTGTTGATGGTGTTCGGAAGTTGGTTGTTGTAATTTGGCATTCAGCAGTTGGTGTTCAGCATATGTAACAAATGGCAGGTGGTGACATTTTGCATGTTAATGTCTTGTCTTCTTTTCATTCATCATCATATCAAGATACATCCACACGCGACGATCAATGCATAATGGCAGGCACCAGTCCCTTTTATAGCATGCAGTTCCTAGGTGATGATTGACCCCCATAAACCCCTACATTGTAACTAAACCCCACAAACCCCTACATTGTAATTAAACCCCACAAACTCCTGCATTATAACTAAACCCCACAAACCCCTACATTGTAACTAAACCCTACAAACCCCTACATTGTAATTAAACCCCACAAACTCCTGCATTATAACTAAACCCCACAAACCCCTACATTGTAACTAAACCCTACAAACCCCTGCATTATAACTAAACCCCACAAACCCCTGCATTATAACTAAACCCTACAAACCCCTGCATTATAAGTAAACCCCACAAACCCCTACATTGTAACTAAACCCTACAAACCCCTGCATTATAACTAAACCCCACAAACCCCTGCATTATAACTAAACCCTACAAACCCCTGCATTATAACTAAACCCCACAAACCCCTGCATTATAACTAAACCCCACAAACTCCTGCATTATAACTAAACCCCACAAACCCCTACATTGTAACTAAACCCTACAAACCCCTACATTGTAACTAAACCCCACAAACTCCTGCATTATAACTAAACCCCACAAACCCCTACATTGTAACTAAACCCTACAGACCCCTACATTGTAACTAAACCCTACAAACCCCTGCATTATAACTAAACCCCACAAACCCCTACATTGTAACTAAACCCTACAAACCCCTGCATTATAACTAAACCCCACAAACCCCTGCATTATATCTAAACCCTACAAACCCCTGCATTATAACTAAACCCCACAAACCCCTGCATTGTAACTAAACTCAACAAACCCCTACATTGTAACTAAACCCTACAAACCCCTGCATTGTAACTAAACCCCACAAACCCCTACATTGTAATTAAACCCCACAAACTCCTGCATTATAACTAAACCCCACAAACCCCTACATTGTAACTAAACCCTACAAACCCCTGCATTATAACTAAACCCCACAAACCCCTACATTGTAACTAAACCCTACAAACCCCTGCGTTATAACTAAACCCCACAAACCCATGCATTATAACTAAACCCTACAAACCCCTGCATTATAACTAAACCCCACAAACCCCTACATTGTAACTAAACCCTACAAACCCCTGCATTATAACTAAACCCCACAAACCCCTGCATTATAACTAAACCCTACAAACCCCTGCATTATAAGTAAACCCCACAAACCCCTACATTGTAACTTAACCCTACAAACCCCTGCATTATAACTAAACCCCACAAACCCCTGCATTATAACTAAACCCTACAAACCCCTGCATTATAACTAAACCCCACAAACCCCTGCATTGTAACTAAACCCTACAAACCCCTACATTGTAATTAAACCCCACAAACTCCTGCATTATAACTAAACCCCACAAACCCCTACATTGTAACTAAACCCTACAAACCCTTGCATTATAACTAAACCCCACAAACCCATGCATTATAACTAAACCCTACAAACCCCTGCATTATAACTAAACCCCACAAACCCCTGCATTGTAACTAAACCCCACAAACCCCTACATTGTAATTAAACTCCACAAACCCCTGCATTGTAATTAAACCCCACAAACTCCTGCATTATAACTAAACCCCACAAACCCCTACATTGTAACTAAACCCTACAAACTCCTGCATTATAACTAAACCCCACAAACCCCTACATTGTAATTAAACCCCACAAACTCCTGCATTATAACTAAACCCCACAAACCCCTACATTGTAATTAAACCCCACAAACTCCTGCATTATAACTAAACCCCACAAACCCCTACATTGTAACTAAACCCTACAAACTCCTGCATTATAACTAAACCCCACAAACCCCTACATTGTAATTAAACCCCACAAACTCCTGCATTATAACTAAACCCCACAAACCCCTACATTGTAATTAAACCCCACAAACTCCTGCATTATAACTAAACCCCACAAACCCCTGCATTGTAACTAAACCCCACAAACCCCTACATTGTAATTAAACTCCACAAACCCCTGCATTGTAATTAAACCCCACAAACTCCTGCATTATAACTAAACCCCACAAACCCCTACATTGTAACTAAACCCTACAAACCCCTACATTGTAATTAAACTCCACAAACCCCTACATTGTAACTAAACCCTACAAACCCCTACATTGTAACTAAACCCCACAAACTCCTGCATTATAACTAAACCCCACAAACCCCTACATTGTAACTAAACCCTACAGACCCCTACATTGTAACTAAACCCTACAAACCCCTGCATTATAACTAAACCCCACAAACCCCTACATTGTAACTAAACCCTACAAACCCCTGCATTATAACTAAACCCCACAAACCCCTGCATTATAACTAAACCCCACAAACCCCTGCATTGTAACTAAACCCCACAAACCCCTACATTGTAATTAAACTCCACAAACCCCTGCATTGTAATTAAACCCCACAAACTCCTGCATTATAACTAAACCCCACAAACCCCTACATTGTAACTAAACCCTACAAACCCCTACATTGTAATTAAACTCCACAAACCCCTACATTGTAACTAAACCCCACAAACCCCTACATTGTAATTAAACCCCACAAACTCCTGCATTGTATCTAAACTCCCCAAACCCCTACATTGTAACTAAACCCAAAAACCTACATTATAACTAGATCAAATTTTTAAATTTCAGGTACAAAACAAATCGATCATCGTACTTGCATCAGTCAAATACAACATGGTTGAAGTCTACAGCCATGCTCTCACCTAAAACCATTGAGAGTCTTCGCAGGATCTCCTGGTATTGAGCATCCTTTCATTGCATACACCTAAATCATCATCTGTCTAGAGCCCCCCCCCCTGAATAAAAAAAATGGTTAACACACCCATTCCTAGTAACCTCAAATCTGAAGCTAAGAAAGCAGCCAAGATCTTGCGGGAATTTACAATTCCGAATACTAAAGTAGGACCAGATAAAATTATACCAGGTAGGATATGCTTTTTATTTAATGCCTAAACTGTCATCATTCAAGATATGCTATGATGTTACTTGTGTGTTTTTGATCCATGCTACTAGAAGGGAGCTGGGAGGATGTAGTATGTTACACAGGCACATGTGCCAGCTTTTGCCAGTGAGGGGTACCGGCACACTTTTCAGAAATATTTCAGGGGGGGGGTTCATTTTGACAAATTTGGCCCAAAATCACATGAAAATTACTAGAATTGTGAAAAACTGCATGTTTTTGAAAGAAATTTGGGCCAGGGGGTCACTGGAATCCCCCCCCCCCCCCCCTCCGTCTCTGGCTACAGCTTGTTACAGTTGCAGTTAGATTGTTTCTCATTAAACCAAAACTTTTTTTTTCTAGTTATCACTCTAAATAAATTGATACATTGAAACCTGTCGATTTTGAATGGCCAAAAGTGTTCAGATTAGCAGGTGTTCACATTTCAATTAAGGTACTTGATTTGTGGGTCAACGGGAGATAACAAAATTTGGACTGAGAAAAATGATCAAATTGAGAGGTGTATTCAGATTAAAGAGATGTTCAGTTATATAGGTTTTACTGTACAATATCTTCCCCTCGTGCTGTTTGATTTAAATTGTGTTATGTTTTTGATTTTAAGCTGGACTTGTGACCAATGCTAAAGGACTTGCCATCCTTTCTGTAGCTAAGCTTGGATTCCTCATCACCGCACGCGCAGGAAGTGGAATTGTAATAGCTAAGTTGGATGACGGAAAAAGTAAGAGGCGATTTGTTTTTGTTGTTATGAAGAAGGAATATATTTATATATTCAAATTAATTGGGATGGAAATTAAATATAATGCCTCGTAGTAATGAGTATACAAACGAACCTGAAATATATATATATGATAATGTCAAGAAATATACATGTATCTGTAAAACATTTTTCTTTTCTGGAAAAATAATATGCAAAATGATTATGAAACCATGATTTTGAAATAAATTATGTTAACCTGTGATCTATTTTTTGTGGAACATACCTGTAAGGACATGTAGTTTAAATTTTTTTAATTGGTTAATTGTAGCATGGTCTGCCCCTACAGCTATAGGCATTGCAGGGTTAGGAGGAGGTTTCGAAATAGGAGCTGAGGTAAGGTTTAAATCACCCTAGCAATCCCCGGGGGGAGTGGTACACACTATTAGTAGATTTTGGTTGGTTTTGTGAACCCTGATAGTCCCGCATACAAGCTTACAGTAAATAAGTGCTCAGATATGAGCTTATTATAAGCCAGCACTGTAACAGAAACTTGAAAAATTCTTATGCTTTTTCTGGCTTGTATACGGGATTACTGAGTCAAGACTCACCTTTATTATCCGGGGAAACCAAAACAGTCAATTTCCCAGTCAATTCATTTTTTCTGTCAATTTTATTTTTTCAGTTAATATGAATCAATACACATTTCATTCCTTTGTTTTCATCGGATAAACTACTAATTTAAACTACTAAATGTTTGTAGGTGACTGACTTTGTGATTATATTGAACAAACAAGAAGCAGTAGATGCATTCTCCAAGGGAGGCAATCTTACCCTGGGGGGAAACTTCACAATTGCTGCAGGACCAATAGGTATGTACTCCTTTGGATGCTTCTACAAATGGAGGTTGTATTAATCACTACATAGAACATCCTCCAATGCAGAGCTCCAGCCATCAACCACTACATGTATGTTCCTTCCTTCTTCCATATTTAAATAAGCTTGGTCACATGACCAGTTGTTCTCAGCCAATAGTAAACAGCTGATAGCAGGATGGAAAAATGAGGCATGAATTTCGGGAGGACTGTGTTCAGGATGCTTTTGAAGTTCACCTTTCCATCTTTTTCCACCACTGCTAGAGTGAGATAAGCACTTGAAGATGCTACCTGAACAATGCATTTCTAGTACTGTATATTCATGAATAAATAAAAATAAAATATCTCAGATGAATATAGTCAGTCTAGTCGAGTATAGATTAATTCAATCCAAAATTATGTATCAAGTTAAAAGTGCCATGTGTGGCCCTAAAAATGCATATGAAAGCTTATTATATTGAATGCTCACATAGTTTAAAAGTTAACTCAACTTTAATTTGGTATAGAAACGTACATTGGTTATTAATGTTTAGGTCGTAATTTGGAGGCAGACGTGGCACTCCGCAGTCCTGCTGCCATCTATACTTACTCCCGTACCAAGGGCTTATTCGCAGGGATCTCAATAGAGGGCAGTGCTCTTATTGAAAGAAAAGAAACTAATAGGAAGTAAGTTTAGAACTAAATGTCAGGGGGGTTCGCAGGGTTTGGGTGAACCCCCCTCCTGGCCAAAAATTCTTTCAAAATCATGCAGTTTTTCACCATTTGAAGCACTTCTCAAGATATTTTAGCCATATTTGGGCCAAAATTGTCAAATGTGAACCCCCTGGAAATTTTTGAAAAATGAACCCCCTTGGCAAATTCTGGCTACGGGCCTGAAATGTATATATGGAAGTTTTACTCAAGCCTTTGTCATCCCTCCATCCCCCCTTCCCCTGCGGACATCTCCAAAGGAGAAGTGATAGGAGCCCCCTAGGAGGGATCCAGAGCCTTGATATAAGACCACATGGTTTATAAAATAAATAAGTAAGCCAACCAGACTAAGCCTATTTGGCCCAATGTCAAAACTTCATGATTGTTTATTTTGGTATAACTTCACTCTATGGGCGTTATTGTGTAATCTACAGGTATTATATTGTATATACCTGTATGTGGTTTTCCCAGATGCCCATGCATTGATTACCTAGCACATACGACTAAAGTGTCCCCCTAATCCCTGTTGAAGGCTGTACCTGGTGAGCTGATAATCTCATGGATTTTGTACCTCAAGATACAACGTTTACAAGAAACAACATACACATTGAATGCAGTGTCAACTTATATGTTTTAATAGATTTTACCAAGACGCCACAATAAGATCCTACGACATTCTCAGTGGTAAAGTTGACCCTCCTAATACCTGTGAGGAGCTGTATAAGGTCTTAGATGAACATGACAGTATGTTCAAGAAGGCAGCACTGGCCTATGCCAAGAGGGAGGCTATGAAGGAAGGACAGAAGCAATATGATAAAAGAGGAGGGATAACTGGGATCGTTAAGGTAGTTTTGATTGATCAATTTTTACCCTTCGCTTTCATTGTGATATGATACATTCCAATTTTATTGTATATGTGCAGTATTTCCTTAATCCAAAATTCTTATTACTATGACAAATGTAACTCATGATATATTTTACAAAAACTATTTTTTAATGAAATAATCTGTAACATCTTTCAATAACCAATTTTATAAGGTAAATAATCTGAACAAGTTAAATTATCTTTTGTTTAATCAAATTGGGAACATCACAATCTTGATTATTTGAACTCAGTATATTTTAAACCTCAATTAGTTCAGAGTTGAATAAAGGAAACAATTTGATATAGTTTTGCATTATCTTTCCTTTACCATCCCACCTATGACTTTCAGGGCATCGGTCGCAGAGGGAGCACAAAGTCAGAAAAATCTAGCTACAATGATGAAAAGTCCAGTTACGATGATGACAAGTACAGCTACAATGATGAAAAGTACAATGCTGATAGCAGTGATGATGAGAGTTATAAACAAGGGGCAACTGGTTACTCAATGGCAGCTTCTACATCTGTAAGCAATATTTAAATATTGCAAAACAAAACAAACAACTAATTTTAATTGGCCTAATATTGTAATAATGGGTATTTCCATGAAATTAATTTTTTGTATTGGTTTATGTAAAATGACAATTTTTCATTTTTATGTTTTATCTAATATTTTTGGGGTTATTGTTAAATTTTGAGAATTGTGGATTTTGTATCTTTCTTGTTCTATAGATGTCACCCCAATATGAAATCAACCCTCACACTTATGTTTATAGCCTTGTATCAAGGTGTCTAAGGGTGAGGGGGGTGGGACAGGGACTTTATACAAGCCAGTACTATCTCTCTTGATAATGTAGCTTGACAATCTTAACCAGAAGCTTTCATAATTTTTTTTCTTTTACTATGACATCATTTATCCATGGTAACGGAACAACATACAACATCATTGATTGAAGGATCATAAATCAAAACCTTCTGGTAGTGACCATCTGACACAAGGATTAGCAATAGATGTCGCATCAATATTAAATCTTTCAGCCTTGATAATTTTCTCTATTTCTTTCATCCACTCGATCCATTCGATAATATAATTAATGATATTAATTTGATTAATAATTTGATTATTCTATTTAGGATTACTCCATGTCATCGAAGTACTCACGCAGTAACGACTCTCAATCAAAACCCAGCTACAACAGCTCATATGACATCAGCGATTCTCAGAAACGGAAAGAGGCATTTGGTGGAGCTAAACCCAAGACAGGAAGTTCAATACCTCGTTCTCAGAGTATGAGTATACCCGTCAAACCCAAACACAGTCCTGTGAAGAAACGAGAGGCTGCTAAAGATAGATTCTCAGGTGGGTATTATCTTAAAGTGTTCTAGACTAATGTAAAACTGATATATAAAATATGTAATTTAGGTTTTTGTCAGTTCATGTCTGTTCTTATTAGGGCTCTAACAGTTTCATAAATCCTCGGTTTTTCTGAATTAACGAACCGTTAAAAAAAAACGTAGAATTTTCAAATTGAATGTACCGACCGAGGCCTGAGAATTGCATAGAACCGCGGTTTTGGTACACTGTTTGACCCTTATTTCTTATTAGATTGTTAGTAACTGAGCCACAAAGGGTAACATCAGAAAGCACAAAGCAAATTACTTAGACTGGTATTAATCAAGCTGCATGTATTAAAGCATTAAAGGGGTTTTACTACAATTTCTCACAACAGGCTAAATAAATAAAAACAAGAGGCGGAAATCATAAATTTAACATGGAAAAGTTGAAAGTCCCTAAAAACCTGCCTGCTGCTAATGTACCCCTGGGGCGTGTACTATGTAAAACCAATATCATTTCATATTATCTACATGTATTTGTCTGTTTATGAGAAATGGCAGTTTTTGTATTTGGTAGAAACTAACAGAAAATAAAAAAATTTGCCGTGCATGTGAGAAAATTACACAATATGGAATTATTTTCAACCATATCTGTCATATGAGGTCTAACCTATATACTATACCTTATGTACTATTTACATATTTAAAAAATATTTAATTGGAAATAAACATTAAATTGTCACTGCTCACTACAAAAAAATGGTCTAACCTGAAATTAGATGTACGTGTACAGTAAAACCTGTCTAATACAAACACAACTGAGATTCAGGCCAAAAGTGTTTGGATTAGCATGTGTTCACATTTTGACCCCCGTGACCCCCAGGAGCCATATATTGGGGATCGGGAAAACAGTGATTTTTGTTAATTTTCAGATCTTTATTATACTCAAATGAAAGGCAATTTAAGATTGCAAATACTGTATTGTTTTTGTGATTTTGGCCTCATAAAATCCAAAATGGCCACCTAATGTGTGATTTCTCAGTAATTTTCTGATCTCTTCAATGTATGGCAATATTATACTCAAACTGAAGGAATTTGGACTAGCCTAGATCACAATTATGGTATTGCTTCACTGATTTGTGCCCTAGAGAATTCAAAATGGCTGACGAGAGCAGGAATTCGCTTATACTTAGATCTCTTCATGATACTAAATATTGAAGTGTCTTTTTGCTTGAATAACCTTTGAAACTCCAAAATGGCCGCCTGTACGCTTAAATTTGTGGAGATTCCCCATCATATGATATAACTTATGTTATTTTTTATCTTCAATATTATATCTTATAATTTATCTTCAAGATATAATGTAGCTGTCTATAACAACAGGTGGTAATAGATGATATTTCAGCTGGATTTTAACTGAAGAAAAATGTTATGATGTTATTAGAACATTTATAATCAATTGAAATATGCATGACGTGTACATTAGGTGTTATTTTGTTCTCTATCAGGCCCGTAAGACACTTTTCTCCAAGGGGGGTGCGGTTTTTACTAAAGAGAATATAAAATTGTCATTTTTTGCCGCGTAAATCAAATCGCGTAAGTCAGAGGGGGGGGGGGGGGGGTTCGGTTACTCCCTATATTGGTGATTTCTGGGCACTTTTAAAGTGTTTAGAATTAACAAATGCAACTTCCAAACGTTCCAATTGTTTTGTGGGGGGGGGGGGGTGAGGAGTGGTGCACTCCCCCAGAAAATTTTACAGTTTTGAGATGCTATTTGGTGCTTTCTGGGCACTTTCAAAGTGTTTGAGTCAATAAGACATTTTTTTCAAATTCTTTTTTTTGGGGGGGGGGGTGTCAAAGAGGATGAGAGGGTGAAGTGGGGTGGGGTGCCAGAGGGAGAGCACGGGGTTGTCCCCCAGAAACATTGACCATATCAAGGTGCTATTTGATGATGTCTGGGCACTTAAAAAATGTCTGAGACTATTCATGAAATTCAGAATATTTTCTTTTGTTTTGTGGGGGATGTGAGGGGTGGCTAACTCTCCTAGAAAATTTTACAATTTAAAGATGATATTTGGTGCTTCTGGCATGTCTGGGCGCTTTTAAAGTGTATTAGTCGATAAAAACATTGAAAAAAAACAATCACAATTTCTTTCAAATTTTGGGGGTGTCAAAGGGGGGAGGGAGGGGTGCCAGAGGGGGAGGTGGGGTTGGGGTGCCAGAGGGGGAGCAAGTGTTTGTCCTCCATATCTGTCCCCCAGAAACATTTACAATATCAAGGTGCTATTCGATGAAGTCTGGTGCTTTCGGGCACTTTCAAAGTGTATGAGTCAATAAAAAATTTGAAAAATCTTAATTTCTTTTTCAATTTTTTTTTTGGGGGGGGGGTGTCAAGGGGGGACTGCCAGAAGGGGAGGGACTGCCAGAGGGGGAGGTGGAGTGGGGATGCCAGAGGGTGAGTAAGTGTTAGTCTCCCAGAATCATTAACTATATCAAGGAGCTATTTGATGATGTCTGGGCAATTTAAAAGTGTCTGAGACAATACATAAAACAAATTCAGGACTTTTCCATTGTTTTGTTTGGGGTGTGAGGGGTGGCTCACTCTCACTAGAAAATTTTACAATTTTACGACGCTATTTTGGTGCTTTCTTGGCACTTTCAAAGTGTATGAGTCAATTAAAGAATTTGAGAAAATCACAATTTTTATCCAATTTTTTTTTTGGGGGGGGGGGGGTCAAGGGGGGAGGGCGCCAGAGAGGGAGGTGGGGTGGGGATGCAAGTGCAAGATGCAAGAGGGGGAGCAAGTATTAGTCCCCTAGAAACACTAACTATATCAAGGAGCTATTTGATGATGTCTGGGTACTTTAAAAGTGTCTGAGACAAAACACTAAAATAAATTTAGAACTTTTCCATTGTTTTGTGGGGGGTTTGAGGGGTGGCCAATACCCCTAGAAAATTTTACAATTTTAAGATGCTATTTGGTGCTTTCTGGGTACTTTTAAAGTGTATGAGTCAAAGAAAAAAAATTACAAAAAAAATGTTTTCAAAAAAAATGTTTTCAAAAAAATTTTTTTCAATTTTTTTTGGGGTGTGAAAAAGGGGGGTGCGGTCGCACCCATCGCACCCCCCCATCTGACGGCCCTGTCTATAGATTACTATACCCTTATTTAATGTTGTGTTGTGTTGATGTATAATGTTAAATTGCTATATAAAATACATTATATGATATTTTATCATTGTTTGGAAAAGAACATTCATTTTGTTAACACACCATTCAAAGGTTTGCATGAGACCCCCACGGAAAGGGTAGGGCATTTGACAAAAATTGGGTTGTCAAAGCCCCAACCCTCGTAGGAACCTAAAGAGTCAATTCCCCCACCAATAAGCAAAAACAGCTAGTCGAATACAGTCAAAATTCTATTTAAATTCCATTAAACAGGGATATGCATTTCAAAAGTCCCTATTCCAGAGATGGAATACTATATGAAAATTCTACCCCTGGGACAATACTGTATGTGAAACTACCGACCCTCCCCGGGTGGGACGTTGTCATGCAAAACTTTGAATGTTACATAATGATTGACCAGGTCCCACCTTAATATCTCAATGTCAAGGTGAATACCTTTAAACGATACCGTACAATTGCTTATAAGACCTGAGAAATATCTAAACTCCTGACAGTCTAGTGTACCTAACTGGAGTAATATACAGGAAAGGGGCATTATCCTTGCGTAAATCTGTCTGTCTTGCTTAAAATATAAGATAATACCATGCCTGGATTTTATCATGTTTGGATTTTACCCGCTTTAAGTTCCTTCCCTGCGGTCACAGACAGTCTAATCAGATCAAAAATTAATTCCCGAAAACAGATCTCGCAGAATTGAATTTCACAGTTGATTGATGAGTACTTAATTAAAGTTGCAGACTATTTGAGAAATTATTTTTTATAAATATTGATAATCTGTCGTCTAAATCAGGAATTAAGAATATTTCTTGAAAGATAATATATATCATCAAGTCAGGGATCGTATCAGTTAGCCTCTCTATATTGTACTTGTTAAGGGTGATGTCAACCAAACTCCACCCTTAACAAGAGAGCTTAACATATCTGTACTCTTAAAGAAGAGATGAATATTTTATCTAGACCTTATCTGAATATGTCAGAGGAAATTAGAATATGCTAGTATTCTGGAACTAGTCTACCTTTAATGATGGTTACTGATTTTTTTACATTGTAGAAAATTATTATTACCACCAACTAATTATCTAGGTACAGTATTGCACGGTGTGCAGAACTGAAAGGTGTGCAAAACTGAAAGATGTAGACCATATATAGAATGAGTTAAGTCTCCCTGAAAATAACATAAGACAGTTAGAAAGCCATTAAAACTTCTGAACATAGGAAACTACCCTAAGTTAATTATCCCAACGAACGAAGTTCAGTAGGGATATAGTGAAGCCCTCCGTCCGTCCGTCTGTCCGTCCGTCAGTCAGTCCGTCAGTCAGTCAGTCAGTCAGTCCATCCGTCTGTCTGGAAGATAACTCAAATATTAGTTGACGGATTTTCTTCATATTTGGTAGAAAGATGTATATTGATGAATAGTTTTGTGCAAAAATGGCTGCCGCTTTAAAAATGACGGGACTTTTTCGCAAAAATCATAAATTTTTCATCCTAAACCAGGGGCCATGTATGGGGGTCAGGAAAACAGAAATTTTCGCTAATTTTTAGATCTTTCTGAAGTATAGCTTTATTATACTCAAATGAAAGGCAATTAAGAGTAGATTGCAGATATTGTATCTTTTTTCTGATTTGAGCCTCGTAAAGTTCAAAATGGTCGTCTAATGTACGATTTCGCAATAATTTTTCGATACCTTCAAAGTATGGCTATATTATACTCAAATTGAAGGAATTTTGGAGTAGATCACAATTATGGTATTATTTTTCAGATTTGTACCTCAGAAAATTCAAAATGGCTGCTTTGCAGGAATTCACAATTCTAAAATCTAAATTTTTTCAATTTTAACCAAAGTAATGAGTGTAATTGATTGGAATTCGGTAATTGATATTTTGTTCGTTGGGATTTGCTTCTCCGCGGAGTTGCCGTTATCTAGTTAATAGCTTTAATTTTTCACATACAAACCACTATAAATCACCATAAAAGTTACATTTGAGATTTTTTAAGATTTTATAACCATCACAGCTTTTAAATCTCTTGTGAAAGTCAGAGGATTACATGGCTAGGTGATTGTGAAACAGGGTATTACAATAGGAAAGTCTAGGATACCCTTATCCATGTGTAAGATTATGTACTATCTGGTTAGGATAATCCAAGAGTTAAATCCCCTTTGAAAGTCAGAGGATTGCATGACTAAGTGATTGTGAAACAGGGTATTAAAATAGGAAGGTCTAGGATACACTTATCCATGTGTAGGATTATGTACTATCTGGTTAGGATTATCCAAGAGTTAAATCCCCTGTGAAAGTCAGAGGATTGCATGACTAAGTGATTGTGAAACAGGGTATTAAAATAGGAAGGTCTAGGATACACTTATCCATGTGTAAGATTATGTACTATCTTATTAGGATAATCCAAGAGTTAAATCCCCTGTGAAAGTCAGAGGATTGCATGACTAAGTGATTGTGAAACAGGGTATTAAAATAGGAAGGTCTAGGATACACTTATCAATGTGTAAGATTATGTACTATCTGGTTAGGATAATCCTGAGTTTTATCTGTTGTTCACACTGGGACTGTTTTTATAGGGATCGTACTGAGACTTCTAATTGACAATGTTTGGAAAATAAAGTCACAATATTGTTCAATAGCTGTTTGCAGATTAGAACTTGACGTTTTAAATCTGCACTAGTACCTGTTATAAAGCAGGGCTAGATTTCTTTGTCTGAAACATTTTTAACAAAAGGCTTTATAACAAAAATTTTGATTTTTTATTCATGCAAAAAAATCCTTCGATTATAGGTTTTTGTCAAGATGCTTTGCAAATTAAACCATTGTAACTCCAGTTAATATGAGTTCAAGTGTTGTTTTACGAGGGTTGATCCAAAAGTTCTTCACAGTTTGCTCCAAGTATCTTAATATTTTATGAACATTGTTCATATTTTGCCTCAACCATCCTATGTATAGTGGTTTCATGTTGTGTAAAAATAAGCAATAAATTTGACCTGTAACATAAGTGTCTGGTTGCCATAGTAACATGACAACAAGGTATGTGGAACAAAAGTACAACACATTGGAATAAAGTTTTGGATTAACACTCGTATGTTATCGATGATTGTAGATTCCAAGGCAAAAGTGTGTGGCATAATGGGCCAAATCTAACACACAGAAATATTTACCTGTGTGACACTTCATGAATCCTTCTTTATAAAGCTTTTCTATCAAAATGCTTCTTAACGAAGCAAACAAACCTACTTTGTAACTCTAATCACTGTTCATATTGTTCTATATGGATTGTAGGTTCCAATGCAAAGGTGCATAAGGTGCGTGCAATATGGTCATATGTGGGTCAACTACCATGTGATTTGACATTTAAACCAGGTTAGAAATTTTATTTTTTATATAATTTATATTCCTTTTGGATCCAGGTCAGTATTTGACCTGACATCAAAATTTGACCTGACATCAAAATTTGACCCAACAAGAACTTGTTCTTGAGAGCAGAAACCAATATGGCATTATTTTCATAATTTGAATATGACCTTATTTGACCTTGTTTTTAGAAATTGACTTTATTTTCTTTCATTAAAATGCCAACTTGACCTTAATATGTGAATTGTTCTCATTATGTAACTAGTGTTAAACTACATAGTAACTTGAATATGTGTAAGTTGCATATTGAGCCTTTCATATTTGTTATTGTGAAGAAACATTACTCGGATTTGGGATACAATGCTTTGTAAACTATATAAATATACATCCCCAAATCCCATCATCATCCCCATCTTTGCATTTCAGGGGATGAGATTTTGGTGCTAACTGATACAGGTCGTCAGAACGACTGGTGGGAAGGGACTCTTAATGGACACACTGGGATATTCCCTGCTAACTACTGCAAAAAGATATACACCTGATATTCAGCTATTATGCTTCATGATAGGGGAATTAGACCTCATGATATGAGATATAAAGATACTGCAAGATATACACATCATGCTTCATGATAAGTGACTTAGACCTCATGATAGGGGAAACAAGTTTTATATTGTAAGAAGAAATACAGCTTTTGCTCAAACCTTCATGATAGGGGACTAAACTTTGACAAGGGAACAAATCTATTGGACATCGAAACCTCATGGCTCATGATAGGGGACTAAAAAGCCAACATTCCATGTTAGATCTGTAGGTAAACTCAGACCTAATGGCCAATTATTTTTCTTGGAATCTGTTTATTGTATCTTGACTTATTGTATCTTGGTTTGTTGTATATTGGTGCTTCAAACTTATTTACATAGTAACGGTTCTACAAAGGTGACTTTAAAGTTTGCAAAAGTTAACTTTGAAAAATGGACTGAATATATTACATCTTGTATTGGATCAATTTTGTAATACATTGGCATTCCAAAATACAAAGAATGTGATAATTGTTACAAAATTATCTGGTTTTACATGGGCCAACAAGGAGGATTGGCTCCCATGATCGAAACTCGATATTTTCCAACAATGAACATCTCGAAATTTTCTGAAATTAAAACCGACTATAAACAAAAATAAAGATTTAAAAAGATTCGAACTCTCAATCAGTTCTTGTGAGTTTTGGACCAAAATTCACAATTCAAATATTGAAGTGAACAAAGTGGCGGCTGTTTGAATTCAAATTTTGTATCATGACATATCCATGTATGGGACAAAATATTGATGTGGCACTCTGGGAGCCAATCCTCCTTGTGGGCCAATGTTATTGTTATTTTTAAATGTCACAAACATATTTTTAACTATTTTAGTGGAACTTGTTATTCTTTTAAAAACTAAGTGAGGTATGGGAAATACAATGTACAACCTTAACAACACATTTTTAACTGTTGTATATAATTTATTGTTTCTTAAATTGCAATTGTACAATGCTATATACAATGTTCTGTAAGTTACAGATACTAGATTGTTATGATTTCTGATGTCCAAAGTCTTTTTTAACTATACATATGGTAGATCTTATCTTTTTGTATTACTTCGTACCTTTATATATTTTATACCTATGTATTTTTCAAGATAAGATTAAGAATTAATTTTATATAATGCAACATAACACTCTGCTTTACAGACATTTCAAATTGAGTTTTACAGCTGCATTTTATATATTTTATAGGGCTTTGATTTGTTATGCATTTTATGCACCTGTCATTAGTTTATGTTTATTTTCACAAACTTACCAGTTCAAGTTAATTCTCTATTTATCTGAGGGAAAATGACTTAAAAAGGATTGTAATGTACTTTTGCTTAAAATTGTAAAAGTACTTGTCAAAACTATAGAAGATGGAGAAAGTTCAAGCAAACCAATCATTGCATATTGCAATTTGCATTTTGATTCAATTACTTGCATCTTGGAATATGCAAAAATGCAACGTGTGAAAAAATGTGTGAATTGCATCATGGGCTGTGCTTTGTGAATAAGGTCTCAATGTGAAAATTGAAGAGAAGTAAATAGAGAACTAAGTTGTTGGTATTATTTATTACTATAAAATGTACATACTCAAAAGCTTTCAAAATAAATAATATATTATATATTTTATACAGTGCCCACTGTCAAGCCATATAATGTATCTACTCCTGTCCTATATGCAAGCTGTTCATTCTCATGTTTTTAACATGATATATTCAACTCAAAATGCTGAAAATGTATCATAAATATTGAACAAACCCCACAAATTATTTTAAAGCCCTATTTCACAAGATCACGCGTGAAGATGGGTTTCTTCAATTCAAATCAACAGGTACTGTAAAATGATCAATTTTCACACAAGAGAGTTCAATTTAAATCATATATCAAATGTAAAATGAAAGGATAGAAATTATAGCATGAAATACCATAAAATACCAAATAAGATACTCATACTCAGCTCTACTCAGGCCTGTAGCCAGGGGGGTTCGATGGGTTCGAGTGATCCCACCCCCGGCCAAAAAATCTTTCAAAATCATGCAGTTTTTCACCATTCTGAGCACTTTTAAGTGATTTTGGCCATTTTAGGACCAAAATTGTCACTTAGTGAACTCCCCCTGGAATTTTTCAAAAAGTGATCCCCCTTGGCAAATCCTTGCTACGGGCCTGCTACTAAATCATATCATCATCAATAAAAATGTTATATTTAATTGTGTAAAAATGTCTCGGTGTACAGTATCTCACATTAACTGAACAAGAGCAGTGTGTTAGTAAATAAAGGAGCAATGCGGAAGTTGTTTATGACCAGGTAATCGCCAGACTGTTCACAGTAAGATAACTCATTATTTTAATCAAAACAGTGGCATTTATAGTCGAATGAGAAGCCCTTGTTTTTTTATGTAAAATATTTTTAATTTAATTGAAATGGTTTCATTTCAGTTTATGCACTTTATATTGGATGTTGCAGTTAAATTAAAGTGCGCAAATTTTATTGGATCGCATTTTCCAATATTCATTTTTTCAATATTTGTTGCAAGTGGAATGAAAGCTAAAAATTAAAGTGCATTATTGATAGTGCATTATTGCTCAGTAATGAACTGCACACTTGATATTAAAGTGCTTCAAGGCATAGTTATGTTACCTTAGTTACTTCACCAAATTCTTCAGCACCTTTAACTAAATATTTCATCATTTACTTAGGAATTTTTATCGACCTAACTTCTGATTGAACCTGGCAGTCTATGAAGAGCATAAAAATCGCCTACGCAATCATAAAACGAAATCCCAAAACAAAAATTAATCATTACAAAAATAGCTTCATCTGGATCTTCAGTTAATATTCTCTCTCTCTCTATTGCAAATTATGATAAAGTGCACCTGTTTGGTGATACCCTTATCAAACATTATTGCCCCTTTATATGATCTCCTCCCAGAATAAAGATTTAAAGGCCCCATGTAATATTTTGTATCATTATTCTTACAGACCCTCAGCATGAGGTTTAGAAAGTTGGGTGGGGGGGGGGCAGAACAGCATGCAATCTTATAGGATAGCATATTATTTTTGAGTTTTCTGCTCTCAAGTACTTTATGTACACATAGCTTATATGGCACAATATTCCCACTTTATAGTACTTTATTATTGCAGTTAGTTCAAATTCAGTTATATCTCAGAAGAGAAATTTATATCCAGTAAGACATTTGTACATGGAAAACCTTTGGTACCCCCAAAAACAATGCATTTCTCTTACAGAGGTTCATTTCGCATTTAGTTAAAGGGTAACAGTATCTTGAAGTATTCCACTTCTTGAGGTTTTCTGCAAGGTGTCCCTTTCTACAAGTTTTACTGTTCTCATTTCACTACAAAAATTCAAAAACAAAAATCTGGGAAATTTCACGTGTAATACCATATATGGTCAGTTTCCAGGTTCAACCATGTAATGCCATATATGGTAATACATAATAGTAATCTACATTTTTCATTACTTACTACAAGTATACATGTAAGCATACAATTATTTCTCACCAATTGTACATACTGCTTTACATGTACCTCATATGATTGTACATGTTACATTATCCTTACTGTACATGTGACTTCAGCATTGTACATGTGATCATTACTATAAATGTGGTCATCACCAGGGTAGATGAACGTGTGATCATTATTGTACATGTGACATCATTATTGTTTACGTGACATCATTATTGTAGATGTGGCCATCAATATTGTGCATGTTGCCATCAGTATTGTACATGTGACCATCAATATTGTACATGTTGCCATCAATATTGTACATGTGACCATCAATATTGTACATGTGACCATCAATATTGTATATGTTACCATCAATATTGTACATGTGACCATCAATATTGTACATGTTGCCATTCAATATTGTACATGTGACCATCAATATTGTATATGTTGCCATCAATATTGTACATGATGGCACCTTGTCAGTCTTTGATGGCAAAGATAAATATAATCAAAAAGATATTTATTTACAGTTATATTACAAACACCATCTAGCCACGTATTATTGCTGTGACTGAGTAGGACACATCATCCTGTTTTGTGATTGTGCTGGCGTAGTATTGTGCGGCTTATGATTGGACAGGCTATGTGCGGCCCACTCTGTAGGCCAAGCCTATCATTCTCATATATATCTACATTGTGTGGCTCTGCAGTGAAGGGTGGGCTATAAATTGTGTATTTAATCCATCATCTTGCCCCATTTGCACTAGTTGTTGTTTTTCTCTCTCTATCACCCTTCTTTCTCCTTCTACCACTGGAATAATAGCATCTTGTTCAAGTGATGATTTAATATTTTAGGTTAACATACACTGACAAGCTAAGGGCATCCCAGAACTCATGAGCATTTATTGAGGGAGGTACAGTATAAGGCATGGGTGATTTTTCTTCAACTTTGGTGCAGTTATTAAACATATACTAGTATCGAGGAGTAGCTGACATGAACTTGAGGCACAGAGTATGTTTTAAAAATGCTTAACAGATTTAGTGTATTGAACAAGGAAGTGATAGTGTTAATATAAATGTAGGATGTTTATTTGAGTTATTGTGGCTTACTTGATTAATGGAAATTATGTACAATTATGTATAATCACTGGGTTTTGCATTTATATCATACAGAATTATTTACAAAAACTTACTTTTTATTTTTGCGTCTATTTTCCTTTTTGCCTCCCTTATTTTTGCTTTTGCCTCCCTTACTATCTTTCTCTCCCCTACTGCGATTCTCTTTGTTCTTCCTGTCCCGTTTCCTGCCTTTACCACCTCTTCCACGACTGTCCCATTTCTAAAATGAAAAACTGACATGATTACATTAACACACTACTATACCCCCATACTATATCCTATATTCCTTTAAAAGAAATACAGGCTACAGCGAAGTTGCAAATGGAGGACGTTCTGAAGGTATACTATATTTTAAATATATTGCAAGTGTTCAACTATAAACTGTATAGATTCATCGGGCAGTTTGCAACGTATTATTACCAGAAAAGCCCAATGGACAAAGATAGAGAATACCCGCTCCATTTGCAACTTAACTGTACCCTGTATCATTTTTAAATGTGGTCACGTGGCAGGGTAGTGTGATTAAGAATAACTGGAATCTGAAAATCATGTTACACTCCCTCTCCATGGGTTTGACAACCAGAGCCGGATTCCTTCTGCGACGCATGCTAAAGCGTGTTTATTATTGTCAATTTAGAAAGAAATCATCACAAATTTCTGAACTATAGTGATAAAGGAACAAAATAAGGATACAAACTTTAACATGTTTTAATATAAGACAATATTAAATGAAGCCTTCTGGTTGTCAAAGCTACTTAGGGGGGGGTTGTATTCTCATGTTGGTATACCTCTACATATCACCTCCACAAGGAAAGGGATTGAAAGGGGGTCTAGAGATTTAATGTAAAACTAATATTGGTCCATTGGTCCATTTTATTTCATTGAAGAACACACTGAAACCAAATTTCCCAAACATGTAATCGCCGAAAATGGGCGTTGATTCTTGCCACGAGCATTTGAAATAAGGGTAAAAATCGTTAGTCCCTGTCCTAAATTGAATCTCGACATTTTAATTGTCAAATATGATTTTTGTCATTAGTAAATGTTGGCATGCAAAAAAATTATTTATTTGAAAATTTATTATTGGATCGGTGATAAAATTGGCGAATGTCCCACTAGAGCGAATATGAGGAAGAACTGAAAATTTCTCGGATGTGTTCCACTCAATATGATGATTAGCCTTATCTCCTGATGGGTGTTCCACAAAATATGATGTGATGAAAGATGCTATCAGTATAATAATGAACCATTTTAAGGTATGATGGGTCACTATGACTTGGCTCTTTTCGAGTTTTTAAGATCGATCAGTATAAGAATGTTGATAAAAGGGTCTGCTATATAGTACAGGCCCGTAGCCAGGATTTGCCAAGGGGGCCCATTTTAAAAATCACTTGGAAAGTGCTCAGAATGGTGAAAAACTGCATGATTTTGAATTTTTGCAGGGGGGGGGGGCTGTAATAGATTCATTCATGAGACGTGGGCATTATCAGGGACAAGTTGCAAGAAGCATCACATCATATTAACCAATCAGTACAGTTTAACTATTTAATCACTTTGATGATGTGATCTTTTAAAAAGAGTATGTCGATGATTTGATTCTCTCATTTAACAGTAAGAGTAAATTAAATAAAAATCTGATTGTTGCACCAAAGAGCAAAAGTCTTTTCTGGGTCACTGCGAATGGCATGATTTCCTCGAGTCGCTTCAGTTGCAGGGCAACCATACTGGGACCGAATCGCGTCGTTCCACTACTGCCCTTGGTGGGGGCCCGCTACCATACTGTATGACTCCCGGGGTCTACTAATGCACGTTAGTGGAGGAACCAACCACAGTCTCACAATCTGTCTCCGGCAAGAGCGGCCAGAGAACCAACCCATGCCAAGGGCCGGTAAACGGTTGGACCTTCGGACCGAGTGTTCGTAGTACAATGATCAAAAACTCCGTACCTGGGGCTCGAACGCGGGACCTCCGTATCCCATCGGACGTTCAACCCGCAAAGTAGTCTCTCTACGCCACGAGGCTACCCTGCTTAGGTGTCAAAACTGCTCAAACTGTAATTGTTGTTCTAATATTTTGCTTCAATGAACATGAACGCGGCTAAAGTAATCCTATTTTCTCAATTACTTGTATTTTATAACTAATTATAAACAACGACAATCACAAGGCGCTTGAATCGATGATATGATCTTTTAAGAATGGATTCATGATACAATTCTTAAGAATAGATCGACGATACGATCTTTTAAGAATATATACGATGATGTGATCTTTTAAGAATAGATCAATGATACGACCCTTTAAGAATAGATCGACGATACGATCATTTAAGAATAGATCGATGATACAATCATTTAAGAATAGATCGACGATACGATCCTTTAAGAATAGATCGATGATACGATCTTTTAAGAATAGATCGATGATACGACCCTTTAAGAATAGATCCATGATACAACCCTCTAAGACTGGCTGGATTGTGATTTGTGTTTGATGTTGGATGGAACATAAAGCAGATTGTCAGATGGTTCCTGAAGGCGTGTGGTGTCTTCCTCTAACGCTTACAGTAATCGCACCTATTTCCTTATGTCAGACTGACTCCAAGCCTTTTGAAATAACAACCCAGAATGTAATAATATTTTCACATGATGCCTCTTTTGAGATAACCGAATGATATGCTTGGTGTTGATTGATCTCCAGTGCCGCTTTATAAAGTGTCCACGAAGAAACAGTTAACAAAAAATGCCTAATACACTACACAACACTAAAACTGTACAATGGGGCGCATAACTGCACATTGCACTGCAGCACATTACATTACACTCTACTACATAACACTACACTACACTACATACACAAAGTGTACAAAAGGCCGCATAAATACACACTACACCGTAGTACGAGAACATTGTATTACACTACACTACATTACACTACACTACAATACAATACACAAAATGTACAAAAGGACGCATAAATACACTGTGGTACGTGTACATTACACTACACTACACTACAAAACGTGTACAAAAGGAGGCATAAATACACACTGCTAGGCTACAATACATCACACTACACTACACTGCAAAATCATGTACCTTGACACGTTTCTTCCATTTCTCTTTATACGGTACAGCTACACTCCCCGCATTAAATAATAGCTTAGAGATTAGCTGATCCTCGTGCCCCATGATTAGATAATCTTTATTATCAGCCAACTTCGGGCAAACGCACGTGTCGTTGGTCCAAAGCTCAACGAAATTGTCCACTTTGATGGGGATTGCACTGCTATGTTTTAGAACCTCTTTCACTTTCACTTGTGTGATGACGTGACGCCGAGACGCCGTAGCGGAGACTTGTGAGTTTTCAACTGATGCTTTTATAACTGAAATTAATAACAATATTGTAGCAGTCATTCTTTGTACAAATCATTATATTTTTGCCATTATAGCTTTGGAAAATGAATTTACATCGTACCGATTCTCTATATTTTATACTGCATATTTTTCTCGATTTTGGGAAGCTACGGTCGCCGTACGATCGCCGTTGATCAAATGTGACTGAGACATTACTCACTTGCATAGACTATATTTACTTACCATAAGTGAATTTTTTCTGTGAATATAATTTTTTTCTTAATTTAGGTTGTTTTGGACATTTACACTCTTTTTTGACTTCTGGCTTTTCGGCTGAAACACATAAAATTGAAAAATAACATTTTATGATTATAACAAGACATTTTATTTTAAAAAGTTTTATTTATTTATTTCGTATTACTTTATAAGAAATAAAGTGGATTAATTACAATACTATTTTTCATAAATAACAAGACTAAATTACAAAACTATTTTATAGCTTATAATAAATGATAAGGGTATATTATTTCCATAAATATAATTATTCGTATGTAATAAATCACCAGGCTATTTTATATGTTATAATAAATAAGAAGACTACTTTATGTTTTATATTCAATATTTCATTAATTTATATATTATACTAGTCTAATTTATATTTCACTATAAATAACGAGGTTATTCAACATTTTATAATAAGTAACAAGACCAATATTTCTATCAATATTTCTAATCAAAATGATTTTAAAATGGGAATAGAGCTGTGAACATACTCTATAAATTCTTGGCAATCCAGTTAAAAATTCGCATGACACATGTCTAAAGTTTAGTATCAGATTAAGTATACAATACGATAAGATGTGTCAAAATATAAAAAATACGAAAATATATTTGTTCTGTATTATTCAAGGCAGTGTCACCAAAATGTCACTGGTTTGTAAATATTTAAGAAAATCCCAAGCCACTTATGAATATATCGCTGGCAGAATGTGGCATCCCTTCCTGTGACAAATCATATTTGTTTTTATTTAACCTTTGAATATTGCATCTAATACCCCCTATATTTAGGATATTTTAATTTACTTTTGGAATAATCCAATCGAGGTTCTAATATGTTTATATATAACTACATAATTTAAGTATAGCTATGTCTACTTGGTTCCTCGAAAATCCTGATTTAAAAGTTGTTATCGCAGAATATCGAATCGTGTCGACAATTGTCAATATTCGATATGTCATTTAGACATAAATGGTTTTGTATAAATTGTGTAAAACTACACTCTTCAAACTGATTTACATATGTAGTAATGTTAACAGAAATCTCAAGTGGCATTCCAAACACTCTAGACAGAACGACATTGTAAATAAAGATCCTTTTCTGACTTTAAAAAGAGTTATGTTCTTGAGTCGAGTCGCCTATGATGATGATGATATGTTTACCAAGGCTTTCCATTTCATACCTATAGATTAGCGATCTATGATTCCTTTACGTAACATGCATCTCCCGGGGGAGACTGGGAGAAATGTCTTGCTACGGTTGGCATGATGCACAAAGCAGGTATAAATCAATATTTGTGATGTTCGCATTGATTCGATTGATTTGTTTATTACTGTAAAAATACAAAGGGCAACATTTGCAAAGAAAAAAGTGAAGCCCCCACAATTTCCCAACAGATTCATGTTGACACTAATAAAAAATTATAGCCCGCTTATAATTATAGTCGCAGTTCCAGCGTAGAAATTCACGTGATAAATACGAAGCAATTGCTGAAATATTTTACAGATTATTGTGTACTACTAGTATTCTTGTAATTATCATTATCTGGTCACAGCTTTTTTAATAAACAAATAATGATCTTATAAATTTAATTACTCCGAAACTCAATTATAAATTATTTTTATGTATGTTTATTACACGAACTGACGAATCGGTCAATGAGCTCCTTCAAACATTAAACGGTAGAGGACCGTTTATCTTTTTTGATTCTTCTGTTGTTTTGAGTGGCTCATCAAAATAACTGTTTCGAATCTTAACTTTAATTCGATCCGTAAAATGAGGAAGTACAGGTTTAAACCAAGTCACTCTGGTTCTCACTAAAGGCTTGTGAATCAAGAAATGAAAATATGTGTAGTTGACTGACAAAGTGGAGATATGCTGCACAGTTTCTATCCCTCCCCGTTTATTCAATAGGTTGTTTCAGCTATATGTTGTAAAGAAAACCACGTTTTAACGTTAGCTTGGATAAAAGGACCGCGATTTAAATCACAGCGAGTGTCATCGTGGCCGAACTAACCGAAAATGTGTCACCATGACCGGATTAACTGACCAATGGGAGTAAAAATGTCACCATGACCGGACGAACTGACCAATGGAAATAAATACGTCGCCATTACCGGATTAACTGACCAATGGGAGTAGATGTGTCACCACGACCGGACTAACTGACCAATGGGAGTAAATGTGTCACCATGACCGGACTAACTGACCAATGGGAGTTACTATGTAACCACGACCGGACTAACTGACCAATGGGAGAAAATGTGTCACCATGACCGGCCTAACTGACCAATGGGAGAAAAAGTGTCACCACGACCGGACTAACTGACCAATGGGAGTAAATGTGTCACCACGACCGGACTAACTGACCAATGGGAGTAAACGTGTCACCATGGTAGAATTAACTGACCAATAGAGTGGTCGAATTAGCCGAATGGGTAATTGATGGTCATACTGAATTGACCAAGATGACAAGATTGTCCCTTTGGTCAAATGAACTGGCCATGAGTACGAGATATACACCATATATTACCATGATAGAACTGATTCAGCAATGATGCTCATGGTCGAACAAACGCATACATCAATAGTTTTCGAAGATGTTTCTAAATTTTCGAAGTTTCTAAATTGTATCAAAATCAATTGTATACATCTCTTCAATTCTGAGCAATTGTAAATGTCCCATTTCCTGCTCTATACACCTCGCAGGCTCAATTTTTTCTGCTAAATTATCTCGTGCACATATAACGATCAGCTGTTTCCCGTCTGGTGCTTCAGGTTAACCAGCGTATCCCGTATATCAGCGTATATCAGCGCTCCGCTTCAATTACGTCTTTAATAATGTCAAATTGGCCGTCTCTATAACACTCGGTATGACGGCAGAGTTCATCAATTACGCAAATGGGGTTTTCAAGTCTACCGTCCAACTGGGTGATCAAAGTTCAGAGAATAAAATAATAACTTTAATTTCCCTTTCGACCCTCATGTTCGGGGTTTCCCTACGCTTAGATATATTACTACGCGTAATATATGTAACGTATTATTCTTTTTGGACATTTCGATGAAAACCTGTCCTTTTTAAAACGAATTCAAAGTCGATATTGTGGACAGTTTTTGCTTCTGTCTATTTTTATGCTATATAACATAGGGTTTGTTTTCGAGCGGATCTGAGAACCAATAAGGGGAGGGGGCAAATTTCAGTTCAGAGAAAAAAAACTTCCGCAAAAATATTTTGGGCCCCTAAAACCCAAAAGTGGGCCCAAATTTTGAAATGTTCTTCAAAATTTAGCCTGATATTAAAAAGTAAGGCCTTATTGATCAAAAAGGCCCACTTTTTGGGGCCTGAAGGCTTTTTTTAGCCCAATTTTTTTCTGGTCCCAATTTTTTTTCTGGGCCCACCCAAAGGGGTGGGGGGCCCAGCCCCCCCCCCCCCAGATCCGCCAATGCGTTACTTAGAATTACATTATGTGTAATTACATACGTGTTATTTGTAACATTTGTGACACGTTGAAATTTCAAATGAAACATTTTCAAACAAGTTCTATAAGTGATTTAACAGAATGTATCAGCTATCAAGTGGGTTGGCTATCAGATGATAATATCATTGCTAAAGTAATCATTGATGACGTTATTCTAAAGTAACACACAGAATGAGTATTTCGGAAATGGATTTGACTATTGTTCGCAAGACTTTCAGCATCGAATTTTCTATAATTGAAATGAAACGATACAATCATGAAAGCTTCTATGATTCTCAAAATCATTCTCAGAATTTACTCTCAAATCTAGAGCTTCTGTCAGGAATCCAATCGTTCTTCAAATAATCGTTTCCTCGATCCTCATAGGACCCTCTCTACATAACTACGGATGTCAAATTCGGTTGCAGTAGTTCATGGATGTTGCAACTCATATTGATCGCTAGTTTTAGAAGTTAAGCCATACAACCGAATTTTGCCGATTCAATCTGACGGAGAATGCCGAGCCCCTATTTTTGACCAATTAGAGACGTCCTCTTCACGTTCGTGGTACCCTCGGTCAACTTCGTTTGCAAATAAAAGCTTCGGCAATCTTCGGCAATCTCCGGCTTTTCTTGAGGTATCTTCGGTTGCTTGCCAAAAGTCGACACCCGTTTGGCAAATCCATCCGCAGTGGCATCTTCTAATATCTCATGCATTTTAAATGTTTCATCAAAGTTATCAGTAAATACCAAACGTGAATAAATATCATACTATATTCATTCAGAAGGAATACTTCACTTTATTTGAAAATGTATGAAACCATATAGTCAACGCATTTTGAACTATCAATTACAAAGTGAAAGATGTCGACTGACGTTGCGCCGTTTCGAGATCGCAATCTTGCGCCTCTATTTTAACTTAATAAAATGTCTAGTATAGGAACGTAAACATAGTTGCGCAACTAACGAGACGATTGAGTTATCATGTAACCCAAATCATTAATCAATTCGTAAAATATATTTTATTATATCACATTTTCGAAAAGCCATGTTAATCACATTTCCACTCGATTCCCACTCGGCTACTACATACAGATAACGAAAAGATGCAGATATTTTTTATAGAAATGTCATCGCTGTTCTTACATCAAAGCTACTAGAGATAGCAACTGGAGTAAGTACTTGTTGGCCAAGCGTTTCAGACAGGCCGATTTGTCAATGAGATAACTTGCTACATAGCTATGATAGCTATGAATGATTTCGATTCTACGGACTGGGAGTCTCTCAAGTCTGGGTTGTTCCACACATTCAGCACTTTAAGAGCGAACACAGGGAATTATTTCCATTTTGTCAAGGTCTAGCACTTTAAGAACAAACACAGGGAATTATTTCCATTTTGTCAAGTTCTAGCACTTTAAGAACAAACACAGGGAATTATTTCCATTTTGTCAAGGTCTTGCACTTTAAGAACAAACACAGGGAATTATTTCCATTTTGTCAAGGTCTTGCACTTTAAGAACAAACACAGGGAAGTATTTCCATTTTGTCAAGGTCTAGCACTTTAAGAACAAACACAGGGGATAATTTCCATTTTGTCAAGGTCTAGCACTTTAAGAACAAACACAGGGAATTATTTCCATTTTGTCAAAGTCTAGCAATTTAAGAACAAACGCAGGGAAAGCAATTCCATTTTGTGAAGATCTAGCACTTTAAGAACAAACACAGGGAATTATTTCCATTTTGTCAAAGTCTAGCAATTTAAGAACAAACACAGGGAATTATTTCCATTTTGTCAAGGTCTTGCACTTAAAGAACAAACACAGGGAATTATTTCCATTTTGTCAAGGTCTTGCACTTTAAGAACAAACACAGGGAATTATTTCCATTTTGTCAAAGTCTAGCAATTTAAGAACAAACGCAGGGAAAGCAATTCCATTTTGTGAAGGTCTAGCACTTTAAGAACAAACACAGGGAATTATTTCCATTTTGTCAAGGTCTAGCACTTAAAGAACAAACACAGGGAATTATTTCCATTTTGTCAAGGTCTTGCACTTTAAGAACAAACACAGGGAATTATTTCCATTTTGTCAAGGTCTAGCACTTTAAGAGCGAACACAGGGAATTATTTCCATTTTGTGAAGGTCTAGCACTTTAAGAACAAACACAGGGAATTATTTCCATTTTGTCAAAGTGTAGGAATTTAAGAACGAACGCAGGGAATTATTTCCATTTTGTCGAAGCGTAGCACTTTAAGAACAAACACAGGAGATTATTTCCATTTTGTCAAGGTGTAGCAATTTAAGAGCAAACGCAGGGAATTATTTCCATTTTGACATGGCGTAACACTTTAAGAACAAATACAGGGAAATCGTTTCCATTTTGTCAAGGTGTACACTCATTGAAAAATAAAATGGACAAAATCATTGTTTTTTTATTGGTCAGTCTATGAAGTAACGTGGCATTTCATTCATTGTGAGGATGGTCCATTTGAACAAGAGATATGTTAATAAATCTAAGGAAAGATTTACCACTGAATCCGACCTAGATCTTGTCCGAACCAAGTCGCGTGTGATAATCTCAGACACTCTTAAGCCACAAAATGATGTTAAGCACTAATCTCGCTAAAGGTGATCCAGAGATCGTTAATATGATTAATTTACAGATAGTTGAAAAATATTAGTTCCTGTTACAAGATAAAAGATAAAAGGACAATTCGTAAAGAAAAATGGAAGTGAGAGTGCTTATTATGTTCGGAAAGTCTATTATACAGTCTATGACATTTTTGAAAACCTTATGATAACATATTACAATAACTGTGTACTTAACGCGCCATGTGTCATATCCTAAAAAATCGGCGTTTATTTAGATCTTTTTACACCATTGAATTGTAATTTTCCTGTTCGTGAAAATAAAAATAAACTGGATACAAATAAAGGAAATTATCTTTAAGGGGGCCTAAAACATCTCTATTGTGTCGGGACTTTTTATCTTTAACCACAAATTTATGATTAGAGATTCTTTATGGAATGATTCACGATCGTATAAATCACATACACATTGGCACCTTTTGATGATCTGATGTTAGTTCAGACCCCACACGATTTACCTGTCCCCCGGGTCACAACTTTGGTTTTTCTCAGGTCACAATGACCCAGTATCTAAAGGTACTGAAATGTCACAAAGGTCTGGACTACGGGGAACACTATTTAAAAGGTAAAATTACCGTTCATTGCATGCTTTAATAATATTGCTCTAAATTTGGTCGACATTTTCATCCGTTTCTTTTGCGTCTGTTTGTCTGTGGTGTTCTCTCTAAAATCATCTCAGCATTCGGATGAATGCTCGGTAGTCTGCCTTTTTATCTCTTTTTCAGACTCATCCTTCGCGATATTTGATCCATTTGAAACTCCCACATTGTCGAATACCCAGCGTTTTAGTCAATATTACTTCATAAGCCTGATGATATGAGGGAGTTGAAAGCAAAAAAGACCTCGATTGAAATATCTTCAAATAATGATTATTTAGTGTCGAATTGCGAACGCACTTTTTATTGCATTCCAGCACGCTTGGTAGCAAAGGTTATTGTACCCTTGAAGATATCGCCAATGGTCGGTTCATCGACGGCTTGACAGCCCGTCTGATTGCAGCTATATTGAATTATGATATTTATTTGCAATTCGAACGAGAATTTTTACCTCTAAAATTATAATAATGCTAGATTTTATAAGACACGCTCTGATTATGTATGTTTTTTAAAACGTATGACTTTTATTCCTGGAGGACAATATACCCGTTAACACTGAGATGGCGTTTCTCTGAAAGTACACGATTGTTTTAAATTGTTGTGAAATCGTGATTTCGACATCCCTGATGTATTGAAAGATTTAAAAGACTGCATCGTATTACAGACCGGAGTAAAGTCTAGTTACTGTAACATGACAGGTAGCACAAACCCCGATTGTTCCCAGTTATCGTTTTCAATTACTAATTAAGAAAAAGTACGTTGCCTAATTTAACGTAACATTATAAATGGACATGCGCATACAGCAGAGGTCCATAAATGAAACTAGATAATACATTTAGGATAACATATAAGAGGTATTTGATCCATTCAAACCCCTATAATGGATACAAAATAGTAGACTATAGTTATTTCACCACGTGTGATTAAGAAAACAATATTAACTATCCCATTTCTTACATTTTCAATAATATTTGAAATGACAGATTTTGCCCGGAGCTATTATGACTACGAGGGTTGTTATGCTTTAATTATATTTTTTCAATCATTTTGAGATTACACACTTTGCTAAGATAAATGGCTGTTGTCGCGTTGTATTTATGTTCATCAGAGTTGAAGTACCACGAGATGCTAACTGTCAATAGGACTTGGCAATAGGTCCTACTACATTGATATGTTTGTGTTCCAATGTTGCAATGTATAATCACCCCCTTCCCGTAAATTATGAAGACATTCGGCGTACTTACGTTTGCCTTTAGGTGGGGACGTTACGATTGCCTCTGGGGAGATACAGACGCCTTTATCGTATAGAGGGAGCTGTTCACACTCCAGTGCCTCGGGCCACGAGACGTTGTACTTGAGCATGATGGGAAGACACCCCCTCTTGGCTTCCTCACAGACCCCCTTACATGGCGGGATGGGGTCCTGTTGAAAGTCTATGGTACATATCGGCGCGTACATGGAACATAAGAAAAACAAAAGGACGTCTTGAGAGCATGACGTATTGATAAGCTGCTCAAATTGTTCGAACGCTAAGATCGCGTTTTCTTGTGTGCTATGGTGGAGAAGGTTAGGCATCCGTGTCATGTTATACGGCATTGCCCGACATAATTTAATCTCAATTGCCTCGCATTGTGCGGTCTCTCCCTGTCTCGGGCATAACACTAGGATTAGTGTCAACAATGCAAATACAGTCTCCTTTGATAGCTTCCCCGTCATTGTCCTGTAGAAATTGATCCTTAGAGTTCTGTGTATCATTCTATACTCCGTATTATATCACTAAAAGTTACCTCAATATTTAATCATGTTTCTTTAGAGCTAAAAGTTCTCGGTACTCCGGTAGTATAGTATCTTGATTCGACTGAATCATGGTGATAATATCATCGTGTTATATCCATGCTTTTAGCCTGACGCAAAAACACCTAGCTTCGCTAAAGAGTCTAGACGGTAAAAATGTAAATTATCCATCATAGCGTATTGTCATTTCAAACATTCTGTGGTTCGATTCACACCTTTTGGCGATCATTATTTTTTTTAATAAAAGCCACAAAATCAAACCCCTTTAATGCCATGTTCTTGGTCTAGCTAGGGGCGATTCACTCTTCCGGCGCTATTAGCTATCCATAGTCCGTCCTTATTTTCTTTCAAAGTTCAGCCAATCAGTTGAAGAGTCTCACCTAGTACTTACCGTCGCAATACTGCCACACAGTACAGGGTAACCAAAAATAAATGTTCAAAAATATCATTCCAAATATGATATAATAATTATGTTATCATAAATGGTTAGGTACATTATGTACATTATGCCATACAGCTCATGGACTCAATCTGACCATTGTTCAATGAAAGCTTTCAAATTAGCAGAGTAGCAGACCATCAATGACTGCACTGCCCTCCGTTGAGTCAAAACACATGTTCCCCATACAAATGTAAAATGGGGTAAAGTAGACAATAGCTAGGCAAGTGACTGACTGTTTTAGTGGTATTATACGAGAATATATTTTCGTATATTTTATTATGTAGATCATGTAGATATGATCAAGGAAATCTCAGTTGATGTTGAATTATTTAATGTGGCACTTTAAGCATCTTTACATCGTTGTAACGAAACTTTCTTCCAAGGTGATTTTTTGTTCAGCGAATGTAAGTATTACTTTTTGCTTGTATATGTTCGGGTGTTACTGAAACATATTTTTATCATTGTGTAAACAACAACCACCAACTAAAACGTTCTAAAAAGTATGATCATTCTTATAAATATACACAATAATCCAAGTTTTACTAAATGAATACATGATTTCGGTTTTGTGACAAAAAGTATTTACTATATACTTTGATATTGTACATTTGTATTCCTCCTATTGGGTAGCAATCGTGTAACAAACATGTTATGGATTCACCTAATGCTTTTTTTCATTGCAATGTGAATAATCACTGGAAATGACTATCCAAAGTTGGTTAATACACTGCATTTGTTATCATTATTTTTCTAATTTAAACAAAAAAATACATACAGAAATCCTCGTTACTTTATGATGCTTTTCAGAAATGTCTTCAGTAACTGCAGGAAAAACACAGCCCATCAGGTTTTCCTTAGTTGAAACTTTCCTTTTAACTCAAAAATAATATATTTTCCTTCGTTTTTAATCCAATATGTAAGTTGCTATATATGACACATTTCTGATCAATGAAAAGTTTAACAATTTAAAAACGAATGGTTAATTTTAAGACCATGTAAGTTTGCTTTGGGGTACATATTCTGAAGTTTTGCTTGATATTCAGAATATAGACACATATTACAGAAATACAAAGTATTTCATATACAAAAATAATTGATTGAATCTAAAGGTTACGCAATAAACTAAATATATATATGTAGTAACGGAGGTTTTTTATGCCATATTCCAATAAATTTTGGTCGACATACAATATGCCATATCTTGAAAACGAGGAGGAGATTGTTGAAAATATTTCACAGTATTATCTATCAATATATGTTCAATATCAATATATGTTCTTTTGTATCAACAAAAAATAATCAGTGCTACTCTGACTTCAAAAAACAGATTTTTCAAACCTGAATTGGGACATTTTTTTGAATTTGGGTGGACGTGCGATAAATATATATTTACCAATACACTGCAAACCGATATTTCGTGACACCCAGTAATGAGTCTAGTGACTTTTAGCTGTCAACTGACGTGGAGAGGTAGTGTAAGTAAGGCCGTCTAGAAGTGAAGTACATTATGTGCCACTCGAGCTGACAAGTGAGATTCGTCAAGTGCGAGACACTCTTACTGATACAACCTTTACAGCCTTAAACGATTCACTATAGCGAATCTTGAGAGCTATAATTTGACACTTTTTAAGTTTTACTTTTAACTTACTGTGTCTTTAATCTGACTTTGAGGGTTTGGTTCCGCCCTTTTTGTTTCAGTAAATGTCACTCTGATACTCCCGTTTACTAAAGCGAAACAGGATATGTTAGACCCCTCCAGGACATTAGTCAGTATTTTCTAATTTGTTTTGTGACTACATACATGTCACATGGGAATTAAACCTAAGTTAAATTGTTTCAGATTTGATTAATAAATAACGTGTTTATTTTACAGTGGGGGGCCTAAATTAATATGTGGAATTGAAGAAACGCGACAACATGATCTCTCCTTCAACTCAACACATGTCATTTATTCTTTGTTAATAGTTATGTTATGAAAAACAACATTATTACATTTCCAAGTCTTTGTTTATTACCTATGTTTGTTTTTCATATATTTGTGTGCTTTTCAAATGTTGCCCCTTTGTCTAATTTTAGTTATAAAAGAACTGTAAAAATTGGTTTTTACAAAAGTACAAAGGGCAGTGTTAAACACAAGACTTGGTATAAATGCATTTTTCTCATGTTTCCAAATGTGCTTTTCGTTAAGTTTATTACACCTCATCATTAAACCGTACATGTGTTTGCAGATTGATCGGACAGATGTAGTGTCAGATTAGTTCTTAATCAGGCCCGTAGCCGGGGGGGGGGGGGGGGGGGGTGAATGGGTTCGAGCGACCCCCCCCCCCCCTGGCCAAAAATTCTTTCAAAATCATGCAGTTTTCCATCATTCTGAGCACATTTTAAGTGATTTTGGCCATTTTTGGATCAAAATTGTCAAAAGTGAACCCCCCTGGAAATTTTCAAAAAGTAACCCCCCTTGGCAAATCCTGGCTACGGGCCTGTTAATACTGTCCCAGTCCTAAAACATACTATTTGCATTCAGTACGGAATTAAAGCTCGGCTGTAAATGATTAAAAATGAATATATTTTTGTTGTTTTTAGATGTTTTTGTTGTTTTAGGTATGCATTTTTGTGCAATACAAGTATATAATATGTTTATGTGAATCGCTATTCGATAATATAAATTCAAACTACTGCCCTCTATTATTGAAATGCCTTATTTTCAATCATTGAGGAATAGTAGATACAAGTGACTACACAGTGTATGGGAATATCGATCGAAGAGCCATCTTTCATTGGTTAATTGCACGACATTAGTTGTGGGTTATAATCTATAAACGACACTGGATGAAAATAAGGAAAATTCAGTTACTCACTTTTTTTATACCTAGAATATTGATTAATTCTAAAGATATTTTAAACATTCTCTATGCAAAACTGAAAGTGTAGATCACGTATGAAATGAGTTATATCTGAGAACATCATTTTTATGTTAGTCTCAGGATATATGTACCTCGGAAAAAGACATAGGAAGCCATTAAAATTTCTGAAGATACGGATGTACCTTAATACAACCATCGTGTCACATGATGTTTTAACTAGGCCTGCTGCGACTTTACTGTTTTTGTACTAGTGAAAAGCTTATACTACTAAAAGCAGCCGATAAATCAATCTTTACAATCTACAATGCTAGTGCACATACTTATAAAAGCAACATAATAAATACGTTGAAGAATTTTCTGCGAAGTACAAGGGACTAAAGGTGCGTTTGATTGATGTAGTAATAATTTACGAAATCTGTGTATAAGCAGAGTATATGCTGAAACTGCATCATTGGACAGCCACACGAAATTCAGTTGTCATAGTACACCGTACACTATATACCAGTTAGGAGCTGCCAGACGTTGTTGACACTATATTCAGTAAAAGTTAGTAGGTTAGTATGACCTTCTCAACTCATACTTGCTAAGTGTTAAGTGCACTCAGTATTTATACAGCGAATTCAATAATATGCATAAATGTTACATTAGTAGTTTTTGATATTAAAATCATATTTATTAGAGGCACTGCTGCAGAAACAACCCTTTGTTGGTATAGCTACGATATACAGATTGAAAAAAACTATCGATTATTCAAAATGTCTGTATTAATCTGATGACTCAGGCTCACGTGTTTAATTTTAATGCCCGAGGCCCGGGAATATACATAATGCAATATTTAAAAGTCACGTCTCTTGTGTTTATGTTCATCATCATTCATCTTTTCAGCTGAATTTATACATAGTGCCTGTACACTCCCCTTGATAAGTTTGGCAACTTGAAATTTTCATTGGGTAGCATATGCATATCAAAGTTTGTCACTGTTTAAACTGTTAGATCTTAATTTCGCTCCTTTTAAGCACTATGACAAATATGCATTTTCATAAATATTAACAGGCTCTGACAAGGAGGATTGGCTCCCGGGATCGAGGTTAGATATTTTCCAACAATGAAAACGTCGAAATGTCGTTATTTTCTGAAATTATAACCGACTTTAAATTCAATATAAACGGTTCAAAAGATTCGAACCAATATCTCGATCATTTCTTGTGGGTTTTGGAATTTTTCACTAAGAAATAAGACCAAAATTCACGATTCAAATGCTGAAGTGAACAAAACGGCAGGTGTTTGAATTTTGTATCACGACATGCCCATATATGGGACAGGGTAGCGATGTTGCTCTCTGGGAGCCAATCCTCCTTGAGGCTTTGATAAGGGATGCAAAAGGTGTCTTCCTGTTACCAAACTTATTACGGAGGGGGTGTAAGTTTTAAGTGTTGTTCAATAATTGAAAATTAGCATCGATATACTCACCACTAGAGGCAACACTTTGAACAGTTCACATCTTATATTCTCAGATTAGGCAAAGCTAAAGAAAAGATAAAAGATATTAAAACATAAAAAGAGAAAAATTATTTGAGCCTGGCCATGGGAAAACTGGTCTTATCACAAAAATCAAAATTGTGCTACAGAGCCAAAAATGTGCCCGAGATAAGAGGAAAATGTACTAAATTAAAATCCGACTTTTTGGTAAATATATGCAAGGAAAAAACGTTAAGACATAAGTCATGGCTCATTTGAAAGGTCTTTTTGTGCTTTTTAAGATAAACAAAAAATCAAAATATTGAAAAATCAATCTGTGATAAGACCCCTTTTCATGTGGCCTGGCTCATTTACAACTGGTAACTCCAATCCAAACAATGAATTAATCTACAAAGAGTCAACCTACCATTTCGCCTATTCAGAAACAAATATCAGTAGGCAAAGTGCTTTAAGTAATGCCATAGGTTCTGGGCCGATATATAAAGATGGCAGCACCAACATAATCCAGTATTATCTTTTTCTCTGAGAAACATAGATAAACACAGATCGATTACCATGCCATCTATATTTAAAATGATTTCTATCGCCCTTAGCCTATGATGTCGAACTCCCGTGCAGTGATATTGGAGAGGTTAAGCTAACGATGTTTTTCACAACGTAACCGTGAACACAAAGTACAAAAATTAACAAAGGAATGTATCGAGCGCTCATAGTTTTATGCGCGCTTAGTCTACTTCAGATACTCTTTCAGCATCAGAGTTTCGGGTTTAGAACGGGATAATTTGAAATTTGACGTTGGGTCAACGGGAACCATTTTACTCGTGTCTATTGAACACTATGCTGTCAATTTTGATTTCGATGCACAATTGAATTCTTGATGAACACGATGATGTATGTCATGCATGATTTAGCGCCAAAAATCTTACGAAACGAGCTCGTTTAAAATATGTATTAGAAAACCAGCCATAAAACCGCATCAATGACATACTATAGAATCATTACACGCTATGGTGTAGTCTAAACAAACACTGGATTTGAACGGCTATTTATATGAGAAGGCTACATGAATTTGTATATGGTCGAGTGATACGTACAGGTTCAGTTTCGATTATATATGCAAAGCTTAACCTCTCCATTATCTATACCGAGACACTGCATGGGAGTTCGCTATGATGTATTTCCATATAAGCTCATATAGCACTAAAATGGAAGGACATTCATTTTCAGGTGACAGGTAACTTACTTGACCCATTAGACACATTCTTATTGGGCTAGACAAATGATGCATTAATTTATAAGATGTAGACCACAGAGTTGAATATGCTACCACCATCAAGATTCGTGAAGAAATTCTATCTGGTGCTGACACTGATAATAGCAGGGGTGCTATGCAAGAGGAAGAATGTATTATTTCTTGTTGCTGATGATATGAGACCGGAACTGGGAGCTTACTATGGCAAAGACTTCCCGGCACCAGTGTATCCTCCAATGCATACGCCTAATCTTGATTGGTTAGCCTCTCGGAGCCTCCTTTTGAAAAGGGCCTACTGCCAAGTGGCTTTGTGCTGCCCTAGTCGGACATCTCTCCTGACGAGTCGGCGACCAGATACAACTCATATTTATGGCTTTGATAAGTACTTCAGAAAGACCGCTGGCAATTTTACAACAATTCCTCAGTATTTTAAGGAGAACGGCTATGAGAGCGTTGGTATGGGCAAGGTGTTTCATACAGGGGGTTGTTCCGGAAATGATGATCCGCCATCTTGGTCTGAACCATATTTCCGTGCTCCGAACTACCATTATTGGTCCGGTGAAACAAAACACAGCTGGATCGCGGTAAATGAAACTGCAGAGAAAAATACTCCCTTACCAGATACACAAATAGCACAAAATGCAATAAAGGTTCTAAAACGTGTAGGTCCAGTATCTCAAAAAGAGGACAAGCCATTCTTTTTAGCCGTTGGATTTCACAAGCCTCATTTACCATTTGTTTTCCCTGAACGATTCCTGAAGTACTACCCCAAGGAGGTTATAAGACCTCCTGCTAATCCGCAAGCTCCAGTTAACATGCCAAACATTGCTTGGTTCAATTACTGGGATTTGCGCACTAGATATAAAGATATCGACAAACTAAATATATCCGGCGCTCCAAATCACACACTGCCCTTAAACATAACGCTGACTCTGAGAAGAGCATATTATTCAGCGGTCACCTTCACTGATTCACTCATTGGAGATATCATACAAGAGCTGATAAAACAAAATCTACTGGATGATACAATAATATCGTTCTGGGGAGATCATGGTTGGAAACTAGGGGAACATGGCGCTTGGTGTAAAGAGACAAACTTTGAATTAGACGCGCATGCTCCGATGATGATCTCAGTTCCTGGGTATACAGAGAAGGGAATCCAAACGGAACGCTTGACTGAGTTTGTGGATTTGTTCCCTACATTGGTGGAAGCAGCGGGATTAAAACCGCTGTCCCTATGTCCTATAAACTCATCATCCGTTAAAACTTGCACAGAGGGTGATAGTCTTATTCCTTTGATGAAAAAACCAGATGCCAAGTGGAAAACAAAAGTATTCACTCAGTTCGCCAGAGAGGACTGGGAACATCCTGATTGGATGGGGTACTCAATGAGAACAGATAACTTCCGGTATACAGAGTGGGTGAAGTGGCTGAAAGATCCAATCAACAAACCTGATTGGTCCATACTTAAGGGAGTTGAGCTATATGATCACACGAGAGATCCACAAGAAAACTACAACTTTGCCTCAGATAAGTCATATGCCGAAATTAGGTCGCGTCTAAGCAAAGAGCTCAGGGCTGGTTGGAGGAAGAACAATAACATATAACATGGACTCCATTAGCAATATTAATGCTTACTTTGGACCAAGAGAACCCTTTCTTGATAAATGTTTAAGAAAATAAAATTATTAGAGGAAATCTTAGCCGTTCACATGATATACAACGCTCGAATAAATCTATCATAGTTTATCGATAAAATGTTTTAAAATATTACCGGTCATTATTAACAGATAGAGAGATAATACGAAACAGTTATCTTTTTTTGTTCTGTTATGTGCAATTTTTTATTTCCAATAAAACAATAAAAAGATGTTACATTTAATGAAATGTTCAAATATATCATTTATAATGTATTCGTTCTGTCTGTATAAGATATACTGGTCTATTTAGATACTGGTACCATTTTAGATACACATTTGAGATATACATGTAGACATATAATACTAGAGACTTTTTGTTCATACATACGATTAAATACATTCGACTGTAGGATGTGTGAATTCAACCGCAGGATTACGGCTGACGGATTAACTTACTAAGTTATGGACCACTCATTAAGTATGAATAATATCTACCACCATTATATCTCAACGAATTGGCCATAAGACAGTAGGTTAAACCATCAACCGGCAGTTGAATTCGCCAATGCTACCTTATACTACATGAAGCGTATTGCTACCATTCATGGAAAACAAATTTAACTCAAAATTAAGTTCAAAATGTACATCTTTTTATTTTTGACGTCTACTGGATGATCCGCTTGTTAGTGAATTCGAACGACTTTTTGAATTGGTTAGGAATTGTGTTGCTGATGCCTGGGTCACATTTGCTCCGATTCATCGGCTGGCGCCCGGCCGATTGATTATCCTGTTCACAAATGTGAACATGATGAATCGCAGTAAATGTGACCAAGGCATCATGCCTGGGTCACATTTGCTCCGATTCGTAGGCCGGCGCCCGGCCGAATGAGTATTCTGTTCAAAACTGAATACAATTGTGAACAGGATACTCAATCGGCAAATGTGACCTTATAAACACTCCACATTGAATTATTTACAAGTAGAAACCAGTCATTTTTACATTAAAACGAAATTAAGATCCAAACATTGTGAGGGTTTTATATTGCTATTCACTACCAACCTCCATTCGTCAAACGTATGTAGTGGAGTCGGAGGATATTTTAATGGTAAACAGGTAACCATTTTTTGTTTCAGTCGAGAAAGTGCGAATATCACTCCAGACCTGATTTCATTCCGAGTCCATTTCCGGGACACCACATACAAACAAGGACATCGAGGTTTTGAAAACACGACAGTGATCGACCACAATGAGGGAAATCGGGAGGATGTTGATTATTGGATTGCTCTTAAACATAGGACTTGTGATATGTAAGAGGAAGAATGTCTTATTTCTGGTAGCTGATGATATGAGGCCAGAGCTTGGAGCCTACTATGGCAAAGACTTCCCAGCGCCAGTGTATCCTCCAATGCACACACCTAATCTTGATTGGTTAGCCTCTCGAAGCCTCCTTCTGAAGAGAGCCCATTGCCAACAAGCAGTATGTTGTCCGAGCAGGACGTCGTTACTCACTGGACGCCGACCAGACTCAACTCATATATACGGTTTTGATAAATACTTTAGGAACACTGTTGGGAATATAACAACTATACCCCAGTACTTTAAAGAAAATGGTTATTCCACGGTTGGTATGGGGAAGGTTTTCCATCGTGGTGTTTGCTCAAATCATGATGATCCTCCATCTTGGAATGAGAAGTATTTCCACGCCCCTAATTATGAACGTTGGGAAATTCACCACAGCTGGGAAGCCGTGAATGAGTCAACAGAGAAACAACACCCTCTGCCGGATGAACAACTTGCCCAACACGCCATCGATACTCTCAAAAGACTCGGTCCTCAGTCCAAAGAAGAAGATAAACCATTTTTCATTGCTGTTGGTTTTCACAAACCACATTTACCTTTCGTATTCCCTGAACGATTTCTGAATGCATATCCAAAAGGTATTATTCGAGCCCCTGCAAACCCGACGGCCCCTGTCAACATGCCCCACGTAGCCTGGTTTAACTTTAAGCCTATATTCCGCTACAAAGATTTGCTCAAATACAACCACACGGGTGAGCCCAACAATACACTCCCTTTACATCCAACTTTGGAACTAAGACGAGCTTACTACGCATCTGTCACTTATACAGATGATCTCATAGGACGTGTGTTAGAGGAAGTTCAGAATCAAAACCTATTAGAGGATACGATTATATCATTTTGGGGAGATCATGGATGGAAACTGGGAGAGCATGGAGGTTGGTTAAAACAAACGAATTTTGATATTGATACACATGCGCCGATGATGGTCTCTATACCTGGATACACAGAGAAAGGCATTCAAACCGAGCGCTTGACTGAGTTTGTAGACTTGTTTCCTACATTGGTGGAAGCGGCGGGATTAAAACCACTGCCTCTTTGTCCCCTCAATTCATCCTCAGTTGAGACTTGCAGAGAGGGTGAGAGTCTCATTCCACTTATTAAATACCCGAATGTCAAATGGAAGACAAAGGTTTTCTCCCAGTTTCCAAGAGAGAACATAGAAAACCCTGATTGGATGGGGTATTCTATGACTACAGATAATTTCCGTTACACCGAATGGGTGAAATGGTTGAAGGACCCCATTAACAAACCCGACTGGTCCATTCTTAAGGGAGTTGAGCTGTATGATCACACAAAGGATCCTCAAGAAAACTACAACTTTGCTGAAGATAAATCCTATGCAGATGTTAGAGCGTATCTCAGCAAGGAGTTAAGGGCTGGGTGGCGAAAGAGCAATGGCGCATAAATTGGAGAAAGTTAAACTCCCTATATGCACTGATGTACAATAATTTCTACATTCAACGAAGATAGAGTGCCATGTGACCTGTGCGGGGTCCGTGCATTATACCGAAACCCATTATACCGACGCGCATTATACCGAAACCCATTATACCGACGCGCATTGTACCGAAAGGCGTTATACCGAATGCCATAATCACTGTTCCACAACTAAATACGTTGACGGAACGTCAATGTAACAAGATTGATGAACTTCCTGGTCACGAATTTTTTACTTTCTCGATTTAAACCTACTAATAAGTCAAGTTGCAGATTATAATTTGGCCCAAAGTTAGAAAATATAGCCTAGTTTTAATAAGTTTCTTCGATTTGGAATTTGTTTTGTAAATGAAGCTGTAATTCATGTACTAAGCCCCTCGCTTTTGTTTCATTGACGAAAGCCTGTTATATTACCAATGTATGTTACTTTGTCAATGGGGATTTAGCCCGACCATTTTTAGAAAACTTGAAAATCTCTAGAATTTGAATAAAGGTAAATAACAGTGCAAAAACTAAGTTGTTTTGATAGAAAATTACACACAGAATTCAAATGGAAGAAAATGTTAGTCTTTACTCTTTAGTGGTTAAAAATGCAGATCTCCTAAAATCTCATTAAAACGAGACCTTAACGAGATTTCAAAGCAATATGGAAAAGCCACTATTAGATAGATGCCCTAGGCTATTCTCCGTACTTGTGTCCGTGCCTCATTTTGAGTAGCGAGTGTAAATTATTTTCGGAAACATGATTATGTTTTCCCTGTAATATGAATTGGAGATATCTGACAAAATATGGATAGCCTAAAATATAAATTTTGTGTTTTAGAACATGCGGAAATATCTTGAACACTTTGAAACTGAAGTACAGTTCCTTAATTGGTTGTTCAGTTTTCTTGTTTTTGTTCTACACAACACTTGTGTTTAATAGCCACGCGTAATTATTAATAAGCGTAATCAGATATTTCAAGCGTCGAAATAGCTTATTTTCCTCGACGTATCTACACAAACCCATTCACTTACCGTTATATTGATGAGCGATCTAGATGCGTCAATTATAATTGTTTTCCCTCATCGGCTTTAGTGGCCCGCGATACCTTTTATTTCATTCATTTGAGACGCAATTGATATATTGGCAACAAATCAAATGTTCGAAATGATTCTTCTTCGCTTTGAAATGTTTCTCTACCCGATATTCAAAGATGTGTCTTAAATATTATACTTTACATTGATCACGATTCTTGTACTTTCTGTCTTTACGACTCCCGTTCACATTTGCAAGAGTTGTTGATTGCATTGCCTTGATCGTTGGTCGAACTTCGATTCCAACTAAATCAGATTAATCAAATAAGAAATGTAATATCGTGTTTATCCAAGCAAATAATTGTAACAACTACATTATGTTTTAGCAGTTTTGACACCTAAGCAGGGTAGCCTAGTGGCGTAGACTGAGGCTACTTTGCGGTTGAACGTCGTGGGATGCGGAGGTCCCGCGTTCGAGTCCCAGGTACGGAGTTGTTGATCATTGTCACTACGGACACCCGGTCCGAAGGTCCAACCGTTTACCGGCCCTTGGCATGGGTTGGTTCTCTGGCCGCTCTTGCCGGAGACAGATTGTGAGACTGTGGTTGGTTCCTCCACTAACGTGCTTTAGTAAACTCCGGGAGTCAAATAGTATGGTAGCGGGCCCCCACCAAGGGCAGTAGTGGAACGACGCGATTCGGTCCCAGTATGGTTGCCTTGCAACTGAAGAGACTCGAGGAAATCATGCCATTCGCAGTGACCCAGAAAAGACTTTTGCTTCATAATTTAACGTTTTAATTCGTTTATTTACATACTTTATTCATATTACCCTCCAGGCAGTTATGATTTTTATCGGTCAAATGAATGAACGAGACATATAGATACTATTAAATACATATAGATAGTATCAACACCATAATTCAATTTGTCGGACATATATAAAATAACACTTGAAAACACAACACACATAGCTGTAATATCCGTAGCATTTGGCACAGTCGGTTCCCACGCTCTATCATTTTGTGTGGTCATCATAAGATAAGGAGGTTGGACCATGGACTTTCAACAGAGTCAAGAAATTGGCATCAGGAATGTCCACACCATTGTTTTCGTTAGTTATGGCAAGGCCCCGGAGGAAAAACAGCATTCGTGGGTAGCTTAATTTTTGTACCAATTAGAGCCATGACGTAAACTCAACCAAGAACGGTGGAGCAAAGTCACTATGACGCATCGGTATAATGGGTTTCGGTATAATACGCGTCGGTATAATGAGGTGATCCCACCTGTGCAATTGACAAATTAAATAATATTCAAGGGGAGTTTTGAAAGTTCTCATCTAGCGTATAGAGAGCTTTCGATATACGTTATTTTGAATACGTATACGCAAACTTGTACATTTTCAAGTCAGGTATAGCACTGGGGAGGAACTCTATCTTGAAACAAAGACTGGATGCTTTCATCCTCCAAAACCAAATATTTGGCAATTACTGGAGTATGCAGTTCGTGAGTTCCGGTTTCAAAATATGAAAGAATAAGTCTGCCATTGCTGAGGTATTCACAAATCAATTCCCTCGTTTAGGAAACGAGAACATTTTTTTAAATGAAATGTACTTTCCTGGTTTCTGTAAACCCTTCTTCCCAAAGGTGTTTTATAACGAAAATTAAAAGTTGCAGTATAAGTTTGACTGAAAACTTATATCAAAAGCTCTCTATTGAAACAATTAATCAGGTTTTGGTAATATTGCATTCTGGTTAATCAAAGTTGACAATGTATCCCTAGCTAATGAAACAAAAGAGCTGACTTTACCACCAATGACCTCACTTTAAAACATTTGTCTTAAGACGATATCAATTGAGATACTTTGTATATATTCAACCTAATTCTACTTCAAAGCCAGAAACATGTATTCAAGATTCAAGGTTAGACTGTGCCAATAATTTGCCACTTATTTTTTTGTCGTAAATTTCCCGATGTGATATTATGATTAATTTGTAATGGCATTTATAGAGATTATTTAATGTGAGGTTTTTGATACAGGGTATATCTAAGGGGAATACAATATATCGACCCGAGGGACAATAGGGACCGAGGATTGACATATTGTATTTACCGAGGGATATACCCTGTATCAACAATTAGTAGATTATACGGATTTAAAGCCTAATCCCCTGGCTCAGTATCTACTCTGTGGATTTGTGACGTCGTAGACCTGATGAGCGGGTGATATATATATATTTAAAAAAAATATATATATATATATCACCCGCTTACTTCAGATATCAATTATATTCCTGCATGTTATTTACCTATAACACTACTAAGTATGAAATAAATGATGATTATCTTAAGGTTGGCCTGTATGTATTTTGTTGTTATTCTTGCCACTTGCATCGTTAATGAATGGATATGTATTTGGAATTATGGGGTTTTGATTTTTGTACTTTACTGAATCGTGTTTATCTTTATATGTGGTCCGGGTAAAGATACATTAAATATACAAGTCGATTATTGGATCGATCACGTGTTTATGTTTTACAAATGATGTTATTTGTATACGTCCAATATTGCATCTTAACTTCCATGCAATAAACACTTTATTCTGAAAGTATTGATTAGTAAACTCTTAAACTCTAACCATTATTCAAATCTTCCTGAAAAACTCCAACGAGTCTCATTAAAATGATCTCCGTAAAAGTACGCAGTTGTGGTTAATGGTCATTGTATTGTTTTAGATAATTTTGATTTTAGAATAGTTACAAGCTGTCACATGAGCTGCGATAATACTTACTTTATACGATATAGGTCACTTCATAATTTTACATCACGTCTCATTGTTCCAAGATACATGTAAGATTATACATGTATAGTATATTAGGAAGTGCTAGTGCTTGTTGCTTATAGAGGATATTGTTATAGACAAGTTAACACGGAAATACAGAACAAAGACCATTTAACTTTGATTGAACTATAACGCTGATATTACATGTACACGTAGGAACATTGTAAAGATACGATATGTATTTCACATGAGTAGTGTTTGTATAATTGCAGATAAAAATCTCAGTCGGTTAACAATGGCAGGTACAGAATTGAGGAAACTTGCATTATGGGTTACAATACTAACTCTCGTACAACTAGGAGCTACGCAACCTGCACCAAGAAAGAATGTTCTTTTCCTGGTATCCGATGATATGCGTCCAGAAATAAACTCATTTCTTGGGCCCGATTTCCCAACGCCCATCCATCCGACGATGTTTACTCCAAATCTGGATGAACTAGCGGGGAGGAGTTTGATGCTAGCCCGGAGTTACGTCCAACAAGCGGTGTGCTCTCCAAGTAGAACCTCCCTGTTGACTGGGAGAAGACCTGACACCACGCACGTTTATGATCTCGTAAAATACTTCAGACATGTCGGTGGTAACTTTACAACCATTCCACAGTATTTCAAACAGCACGGATATATGTCTGTTGGAATGGGGAAGATATTTCATCCAGGTCACGCCTCCGGGGGTGACGATCCACCATCCTGGTCAGTCCCTTATTATCATGCCCCAAGTGCAAAATACTGGGGTCCCATCGGCCGCCGTCACAGTTGGTTGGCCGTTGACGAATCAACTGAGAGACAACACCCACTCCCAGATTCTGAAACTGCTCAAAACGCTATTGAAACTTTAAGAAAGGTCGCTCCAAAAGCTAAATCTGGAGAACAGCCATTTTTTGTTGCAGTTGGATTTCATAAGCCTCACTTGCCGTTCATATTCCCAGAGAAATTTATCCAACATTATCCAGAATCTGTTATACGCTTACCAGATAACCAATACGCCCCAGTAGATATGCCCCCAGAAGCCTGGTCAGAATATGGTGAATTACGTCACTACTCGGATATTGCAAAACTGAACGCTAGTGGCCACATTAACACCACTCTCCCGAAAGATGTCGTTTTGCAACTTAGACGCGCTTACTACAGTGCACTTAGCTATACCGACTCCCTTATCGGGGATGTAATTGGGGAACTGAAAAACCTCGGGCTTGAAAACAACACCATTATCTCTTTTTGGGGTGATCACGGATGGCAACTAGGTGAACATGGCGAATGGTGTAAGCATACAAACTTTGAACTCGCTACACATGCTCCAATGCTTGTCTATGTCCCGGGAATCACAGATAAAGGTATCAAACCTGAGAAATTAACGGAATTTGTAGATCTTTTCCCAACTTTGGTGGAAGCCGCCGGACTCCCGTTGATCCCTCTGTGCCCAAAGGATTCGTCGAAAATAGAAGTATGCACGGAAGGTCAGAGCATGATTCCTCTGGCACGTGACCCCAGTGCACCATGGAAACAGCGGGTATTCTCCCAGTACCCACGTTCGTACCCTGTCAAAGAGGTCATGGGATACACAATGCGCACAGAGAAGTACCGTTACACTGAATGGGCCAAATTCAATTATAAAACATATATGCCAGACTGGACCTCATTGGCTGGAGTAGAGCTATATGATCACGTGACCGATGATGAGGAAAATCACAACAAAGCCAATGATCCAAGTTACAAGAAAATACGAAATACTCTCAGCCAACAATTGCACCAAGGGTGGAGAGCGGCTCTGCCTAATGTAAGGGACAATACTCTATACTTTACACCAGTGTAATACTGTGTAAAAACTCGTGCCATCATACGTTGGCCAATTCCAGAAACACCCTTAATTATTTCTGAGTGGCATTTTCCAAAGACATAAATCAAATGTTAGATAAATCTATTCAGTACAATTTGCAATTCTCTTATCTTCATTCTAATTAGCTATAAAATATGTGAGAAACTCATTTATTGACCTTCTATGAACCTCCAAAAATTGACAAATGATGACATATCTATATTCACTAAAGTCGACATATTCCACCAAGGACATACAATATAAATTGTTTGATTCCATGCGTCGACCTTTGATCTTTCTAATAAATTTTCCAAGCAATGCGACTCCTTGAAGATTTATTTGTCCCAATCTTCAATGAAATACATGCATTTAAAAGATAAAAGCTATATCGAAACAATAAGTATATGGACGTTTTTTGTCCACCCTGTATGGAATTTCAGTGAGTCCCCATCCGTCACATGATTCTAAATTGTAAATAATATTTGATATATTACGTACTGTTTCATTTAGAAAACAAACCATATAGAATATCAAATCATAGGCTTTATATCAAAAGTCATATTCGATGCTTTGACTTTTTTACATATTAGGTATATACAAATTATATCCACTAAAATCATCTGGCATTGATTTCGCACATATTGTCGTATACAAATTACGTAATTTTCTTGGTTCATAAGCCTCTACATCCCTTGAAGAGACCTATTATAAAGTATTGGATTAAAGAGGGACTAAGGGCGACGACAAAACTCGAAAATCCAAACATCTTATAGTCGACTTGATGTTGCAAAGCTACGAATATCATATATTCTGGTCCAGGTCAGGTAATGACTCCAAAAAGTAATTAATATCAAACTTCCTTAATTCTGTTGGCTTCTCAATACTTGGTCAGCTAGATCAGCTCTTTTTGACCTTCTGAGAGCATCGGCCAATGCCTTTCTCTTGTCCACACCTCTATCCTGTTCGTTTCTCCAGCTTACGAGTATGTTTAAACCCCAGGTTTTGGCATTTTGTTGGTTACTCAGTTTCATGGTTTGTACCTGGTGTTGGCTCATACCAAGTCGAATGGCAACCTCTTCAATATCATACCCCAATTTCATGCCAATGTCAAGGAGCTCGATATCACTCAGTTCACCTTGAAAAATAATTTGAAAAAGTTTGAACATTTAAAAATAGATCTACTGTCACTTAGCCACCAATTATATTAATTTGGAAAAAATTATTTTCTGTGCATTCATTGAAGATATACTGTAACATATTAGCGTACAAAATTATTTATATTTAGGAGTGGTTATTCAAATTCGAAAAGCTGCTTATTTTGTGGCAAGCAGTTGAGCTCATAGTTTTTGAAATTAAATAACCCATGACCGGGATAACAAGCCATTAGGATGACAAAATGTCACATAATGTAAATACAAATGTACATTCGAGAATGTTTCACTTACCCTGGGTTTGTTCCACCAATTGTTCAATGTTGTACCATAGTTTATGACGATGCAATTCTATTAGATCCGGGTGAAATTCACAAAGCTTCTGACCAAGGTTAATATCTTTCTCTAAAATTGGTACTAACATCTGCGCCTCTTCTGGTACATCCTGACATCTGCATCTGACAGAAACCTCAAATCTGACATTGGGACAATAGTTCTTAATGGTAGACTTCAGATTTGCCTCGACGTCCTCACGGATTCTGGTACACATAGCGTTTTTCCCATGATTTGTCATCCCTTTTGATAATTGATGGAGTTGTATCTCTATGTGATTGTCTTCAGCTAGAAGTGTTAACACATGAAAACCATCGGCAATTTTAAACTTAACGTAATCAAAGAATACATTGCCATGTAAAAACCATGTATTTGCGTTACAGATTTTTGCAACGAGTCGATGAAAAAGCCCTTTAGGGAGGAATGAGAATTTGAAGAAAAGTGCGCCACAAACTAGTGGTTTATTTTTCATAACATCAATGTCACTAGACTCTCTTTTAGGAAGCAGACAAGGCACAAAGAATTGCCGTTTCTCATGAATATTCTCCACGCAATTTCTAAATGGACAAATTAAGTCAAAACGTTGCATGAGTTCTATCATTACGTCACTATGTATCGCTATATCAGCGTAAAGTTTCTTCCACACGGTTTCAATGAATTGCTCTTGAAGCACACCATATTTATCCAGTTTATCCCAGACGTTGCTGTCAAGTGTATTTCGTCCTTTCGCGAATCTGTGAAACTTGGGTACTGTTATAATACTCTTGAAAACATCAATGAGCCACTGAGGATCCAAGATCACTAGATCGTTGAGATTGATTTCATTGAAGTAGATTATGTCTCCGACTGAATGATAAAATTCAAGACAAGCCCGGACAGAATCTTCATCCAAACCCTCTTTAAAACCAATCTTTGCCACTTCATCAAACTTAAGAAAATGCCTTGGATGTTGGTCAGCGGTTCCCACTTTGAACTCAATGAGCCTTTTCTCTAAAAGCAGCCATTTAATTGGTACTTCCTGTCCCCAGAATCTTTGCTCTTCTGCTAGCTCTACGATCTTCTCCTTGAGTTCATTCAACTCGGAGTCGTCGTCAGATTGATTGTCGACTGCAAAATATGTTTTGCAGACATGTGGAAAGTAGACCTTATCCTGAATATTTAAGTTTAGATTGAGGAAATAGTCGTCAAGATTCTGCTGGTCAGTTTCGTGTGTCTGCAAATTAGAAATGCTTTGGTTAAAGTCACATGTTTTATTTTTTCTGAAATGTCAGTTACGCAATATTATATTAACTCCTATCGACTTGGTAATATTCGTATTTATTCTTATATATTACCATATTGACGATATCTTTGTGTGTTCCTACTATGATGACGGGGGGACTCAGCGATTCTGTTTCAGAAGATGACTTTCCAGTATGAGTATGTATAGAGTTTAACCAGTAGTCTAAGTAGTCTAAAATGTTGAAAATAAATTTGATGTTAAGAAAATACAAATGGCGATTCAAACAACGTGAATCAAGTATGAAATTAGTGAACCACACGTTGGTCTGATCCTAAAAATATTGCGTTTCGCAATTTTATGAATTCCAGAAAACAAAAAACCTCTGTTCAATGATTAATTATAAAAACATAACGACAATGTGTTCTGGGCTGCTGGGCGGCGGTTGATAGTTTTAATATTACTTGTGAATCTTTGTATTTATCGTGTTTGCATTTATGTCTTATAATTACCGTATTAATAAATTGTATTTTAGCTCAGAACAATGTTATTACATTTATGTTTAACATCCTAATGCATTTCAGGATTTTCTGTAAACCAGCATATGATAATTATGTGAATAATTATCAGATTAAACACAAAGATAAATGAAAGATTGTAAAGATAATCGAAAGCTACATTACAGAGTATTATAAAAAATAAGTAATTTAAAGGATGTATATAACTATCTAGGCCTTAGAAAACTTTTCGAGGATAATCATCAGTTTGATTCCCTTTCATTAACTAAATCTAATAAATGCACTTTCGATTTCCAATTGAATGTCAAAGTGCTCTAATAAGGAAGGTGAAAGTGTTTGGCCGTTGTCAGGAATCCCCCAAAACAAATGTCACAATGAATGTCGCCATATCAGCCAACGTATATTTAAGACGTAATACTCGTAGCCCGCCCTTGTGGAAATCAAATTTCAAAATATCGGTGCATGAAAACATCTTTTGCGATACCTTCCATGGCCTTTTTGTAACTTAGTAGAATATACAAATATACATTTGATATTTATTTAACAAAATTTATTTTCATCATCACTTTCTAACGCTTCTATTTTTTATTTAATTGAACTTACGGATATGTTAAAAGATAACACATCTTGAAGACAGTCAAACGAAAGTACATGTACAATGTACCATAAATCAAATTCCATAATGCTGTAGATTTAATGCAACAGCAATTCAAGACAATTAGATGGAGAGTAATAGTTATGAACTGGTGTTTTATTGTTTTTAAGGGCATGTGAAAATCCTAATCATGGATTTGGGGAGTTTAATTCACTGAACAAATTTTCGTTGGACCAATGTTAGTACTACGCATTGTGGCACGTGTATATCCTCACCATATCCTCACCTTTGACCGTCTTAGGGGCAGTGGCATCAAGTTTCTTGCCTGAACGTGACTGTCTGAATGTCTCAACCTTCTCATCGAGATCCTTGGTTAGGTCCACAACTAACAGATATATGGCTCTGTCCGTCAAAAATGTTTGATGCGTTGTATAAAATACATGCTGACCACCGAAATCCCAGAATGATAGCTTTAGCTGTTTTTCCTCCTGACATAGGAAAATAAGGCATGTCATCAGTTTTTTGTTGCATAAAACTCCTTAAAATCTAAGAGCGAGCATTTTCTGACGGCAACTTTCAACCTTTTTTGTTTTTTTGTACTATTTGATACACTATTTAGTATTTAGTGTTCTGTAATCATAAAAACTTTGAAGCATCGTAATCTATGTAATTCTCTTACGAATAATATAAACTCATACCTGATTTTTAACAGCAGCTAAACTTTCAACTTTACTTATAATATTCTCAGGTATGTCTTCCGGAGTAGTATGGCTATCATCAATATCACCAGAGCTCACATTGTCGTTGGGAGCAATGCCCTGGATCATGATAGCATGCAATAGCTTCTTAGCAACTTCACCATCGTGTATCTCTTTGGGGTCATCCGTATCCTTTGCTGATTTGAAACCTGCAATTTTTTTTCGAACATATTATCGCTTTCCAACATATTTGAAAACAAAGATGTTCTCATAAATCTAGAAACTGTTAAAATTTGTGTTATATAATGTAATACTCTTGATTTATGCACCATTCAAAGGCATTGTGTGAGACACGGGAACGTCGGAATTTGTCACTCAGAACTGTCAGTATTGTATTAATCTAAGGTCAAATTGTCAATAGTTTATCGCATACATCCTCTTTTAAGGGGTAATTGGCTATTTGGCAAATATTGACAGACAGCTGCAATCGATATTCAGAGTGCCTCCAAGGAAAAAGTTATTTCAAAAATCTCAAAATCAATTGAATGGTTCGTAAGAACAATACTTTTTGCATCGCTGATTCTTATCTACACACAAAAATCTTTGTCATTATATTTGAAAACATTCCCATGTATTACAAGTAAGAGGATCGTATTTTTGCATCTGCCCGCACTATACGAACGCCATGGTCGAATATGAATGGCCTACCCTTTGCTTTGGTTTTCCATATGACCGAATTGCTGATATCGATATAACATGCCGATGGGTCCACATGTATGCCATCTGTCGGAATGTGCTCCTTATCATAACCTTGGTCTAATAGACGCTTCTTAAGACTTGTTTTCCCCACCCCGTATTGGCCAACGATCATGATCCGAGTATGGTAGACCTCTCGTGTTCCCTCCTCCCTTGCCTTCTGGTAGGCCTTTATGTATTTAGAGTTGTTTAATAACAATTCACTACCAGTAGGGTGCTGCATATCCTCAAGCGTTCCTCTCTTCTTTGTATTCTGGTAATCTCCGTCTCCTGGATCCTCTACAAATTCAAAACCTAAGGTATACAATTTATTGCAAAGCTCAAACATAAAAGTAATCTACTTTTATATCAGCCATTCGAAAAGGTTGCTTGATATTTTCGATACTCTCTTCAACTCAAAAATTGTCAGATTGCAGAATAGGTGACTCCCCATATGCTGCTACTAAATATTGCAAATACCTTTATTCCCCCTAAATTTCTATCTTGATCCATCAAGGTATTACATATAGACCTGCCAACCTAAAACCGTAATTCTTTTTAATATCTTATTGTTTTTAAAAAGTATGGTATTTTCTGGTAGATTTTTTTAAAAGGTAGTTTTTACTGTAGATTTTTCCTTTCTTTAAAAACAGTGCTTTTTCTATTAGATTTTTGAAAAATGTGTTTTTCCAGCAGATCAAAAAACTGTAGTTTTCGGTAGATTTTTCCAAAAACGGTAGTTTCTCCGGTAGATTTAAAAAACGGTAGTATTGCATTGTATTGTATTTTTTGTTACAAGTTATGGTGGTAGCACAATACAAAATTGAAGTATAAGCATTATCACAACATGTTGGTTTGATGCAGGTTGTGCCCGATTGGGTTGTGTCTGATTGTTTTTTGTGATTGATGTACGCTGTCTAAGGTTGTGCCTGCTTTAACAAATAGTTGTATAAATCGGAATCACGGGTTATACTTGATTTGATTTGTTCTTCGGTTGAATCCATGTTTGGTTTTAATTTATTGGTTGTGTATTAGGTTGTACTGTTTTTCTTGTCTTTCTAGACTGAGTTTTGATGCTAAATATTTGAATTCTTACCTAGAGCATTTCTAAAAGCTAGACTATATTGTCTAACTTTGTGCCAAATAAGTTTAAATCGAGAGAACAAAAAGTTCATAACCAGGAAGTTCATCCATTTTGTTTTTTAGTGCAATTGTTTTTTGTTCCTTTCTACCAATTCTTGAGAATGAAATAAAATATCTTTCCGAACCATATTGGAACAAAATAGCATATACAGCATTTTCTTAGACCTCTCAATATTATAGTTATACAGAGGAAATTTTGGTTGATTTCACAAAAAGTATGCAAAAACTAAAAACAAAACCCCCAAAAATAGATAAAAATTAAGATAAACCTTTTATTTCATTAACAATATACTTTTTAAAAATCAACCAAACTTTCCTTTGTACAATTACAACGTTGTGTTTATGTCGTTTTGTTCCAATGAGGTTCGGATAGATGTTTCATTTCATTCCGAACATATGATACCAATAACAAAAGGAGTGTCTGATGTATGTGTTTTCCAAAACGATATAGAAAAAAATATTTATATACAGGGTGGTCAAAAAAAATGGAAACCCTTACACCATTTTCCTCATATATTTGTCATTTTGAGAAATAACTCCTTGATATTTTGCACATTTGTACACCATTCAATTTCCTACCAGCTCACTTTATTTCATGACCATCAGATTGATAGTCACAATGTTACATCACTTTACAGAACATGCCCTAGTGGCCACTATTGCGCTGTCGGGCCACCTGTACTCATCGTCCAAAATGTCCCTACCTGTGGGGATATGGCAAGGAAAAAATGTATGAGAATGACCTCAGGACAATCACAAACCTCAAAAGTGAGATCATCTGTATCATTCAGGCCATACCTGCTGAGGAATGCATTCGGCCCATTGACAACTGTGCAGGTTTGCCTACAGCGCGATGATGGCCAAACTTGAAGCATGTTATTCAAAGTGCTGTAAAATTGTGACTATAAGTCTGATTGTCATGAAAATTGGTAGGGTGGTAGTAAATTGAATGATGTACAAATGTGTGAAATATCAGGGAGTAATTCCTTAAAATGTCAAAGATATTAGGAAAATGCAGGGTTTCCATTTTTTTGACCACCCTGTATATTTCAAATTATAATGTTATCCTCCAAAAGATGACTATTATATTGACGATGTGTAAAATTTTCAGAATGTTTTGATGACTGGTTTAAGAGAAATGCGTGTCCAAAAAGTTCACCATATCGATACCACTCCTTTATTGATTTTAGACCTTAAATTGTGCGTTCTGAGCGATATCAGACTTTGTGATGGGACACTATTTATTGTATACAATCGTGATGTGAATGAATAAATAAAACCACACATGAAAGGTTATTGCCCGTTCAATCACTTAGGCCTATCATTTGAAAAAGTTTTTAATGTTATTTACATGCACCTTTTACATGTAATAAAACTGGCAAATGCAAGCCACAAACGGCGAGGGGCCTTTGCCGCCCACGCTCTTATGATTTACCCTTTGCATTCGTTTCACTTCACTTCTTAAAAGAGAGCTTCGTCTTCAACTAGACTCTGCACGCAGGGTACTTATAATTCCACGTTTATTAAAAACCAAGTCTTTACTGCCAATGAACTTAATCTTGTTTGTCTCATAATTGATCTGAGATAGGTCTTGAGACGCCTCATAGAATTCGGTATAAGTTAAATGCCAGGGAAGATTATTTTGTACGAGTCAGAAGATACGACCAGAAAGGAAAAATGGTACTTGTCTGGAGTCTTGAAGAGAAGTTGTCCAGGAAGATCATAAAACAAAATACTTTGCTTTATTTTTTTTTATTTTTTACAATTCTTTTTTTGCTTCATCATATAAGGTACGCAACTGCGTACCCTTGCGTATGCCTGGTTACGCGCCTGAAAACTATGTTATATGACAAAAATGAATGACTAATAAGGCCGGTGATTGGACTGCTTATTTACATGTCAGTTGGCCCAGAACAAAAATTGGATTTGTTCGCTCATTTTTTACATTACAAAGGATTTATACATTTTTTCGGGCCGCGAAACTGAGAGTGAAAGAAACAAGTGTGACTGCGATAATCAAGGTCACAGACTTGTCAAATTTCTATTAAAAAATACGGTAGATTTCAGCGAATAAGCGTTAGATTTTACGGGAGTTTTCAGAAAGAACGGAATATTTTAGCAGAGATCTCAGCAGAAATACAGAAGATTTTACAGCCATTTTCAAAAGAAAAACGGATTTGAAAATAAAATTATGGTAGATTTTAGCAGAAATACGACACGGGAGCTTTTACAGAAGGTTATTGATAATAAACTGGAAAAACTACCGTTTTTGAAAAATGTTCCCGGGCGACTACCGCTTTTTAAAAATCTACCGTAAAACTACCGTTTTCTACTTAAAAATACAGCCTGTTTTTAAAAACTACCGGAAAAACTAACAGATTAAAAAATCTTCCTTAGAAATACGGCAATTAAATGAAAATATATTGCAATTTGTATTTTAGGTTCGGAAATGCATAATATACCAAACGCTTGAATTAGTTTTGAAAGTGTGGTTGTAAAAAGGATTTGATGTTCAAATTCCTAGCTTTTACCTGTACTTATTGGGACTACATTATTCGCTATGGGCCCCTTTTGGCCAAACTCGACGTTGTAAGATACCCTTTGTCCCTCAACAAGCGTTTTAAAGCCGTCTCCTACAATGGCAGACTGAAAACAAAGTTTACAAATTATGAAGATGTCACATTTATTCACCGATAACCTAATGAAATATGTGTTTATTTTATGATTGTCCAGTGCACTATACTGAAAACTATTAATTCATACACTGACAAATACATTCATATTAGGTTTAAACCTGTGCCGCCTTGATTATAATCTTAATCTACACTGAGGAAATTTTCTGAGGGTTGGTGAATACGTCTATTCATTCACTCGAAATTTAATATGACAGTGGGGGATCCAGAAAATCACAAGGGGGGAGTCTGTAAACAATTTTGCGCCCCTAAAACCAAAAATTGGGCCCAATTTTGAAAAATTAGGGCCAATATTTTGATAATTGGCCCAAAAATGCCAATTTATGCCCAAAAAAGGCCCATTCTGAGGCCCTACCAAATTTTTGGGCCAATAAACTAAAAATTGTGTATGATGAGTACTCACAGTAACTATATTTGACATAGAATTTGACATAGAATGGGGCGATAAATCCCAGAATTACTTGTATCATAGTATTTACTAATACATTCAGAGTGGATATTCATCTTTCATTCCATATAAAGAAAATATAAATTGATAAAATATTGACGGAGTGGGAGTTGTTACAATGATCCAAACTTTTAGCAATTTCAGAACGTTTCGTCCAGTGTATTTAATGAGGGGCCCACCTTAAATAATCAATTACAATAACATAGTCGTTTTTGGCTTATTTCTTGAAAGCATTATACGCTATTATTATCAAATATTTGTATTCATATGGGGAATCGATTCTAATATGATAGTACACTTATTTTACCCAAGTTAGAGTTAACTTTATATATAAATGTGAAATAATTTGGGAAATCCACTATAGTAAGGGAGCAAATGTCATTCCGTGTCCTTTTTATAGGCGAGCTAAGCGACATATATTTTCATGAACTATACGTGATACTTACCAAGAAAAATGATGTTGGCAATTCTGAATCTGCGACGGCGTTGCTATGGTAACCAAGTAAATATTCCACGCCCACTTTTAGGGGCTCTTTTTAGTGTATCTCCGTCATTATTGCTCAGATTTCGATACAATTCACACCAAATGGAAGGTAATAGATAATGCAATCAGGAAATATTAAGTTGGCAATTCTGAATCCGCTACGGCGTTGCTATGGTGACAAAGTAAATATACCACGCCCACTTTTCGGGGCTCGTTTCAGTGTTTGGCCCCTATCTTTATCATTATTGGTCAGATTTAAATGAAATTTGTACCAAATGAAAGGTAATATACAGAGCAATCAAACAAGCTATAAAATATACAAATAGGGTGATTTGCATATCAACTATATGCCACGATCGCAGCACCCGCCCCCCGACTGAAAGCTGACTGCGCCCCTGATTAATGATTGCCATTATGACATCATAATATAACACAATCCAAATTAAATAATTTTTTACAGTTAATAGATTATTTTCACCAAATTTTAAAAAGAATACATGTCAGTCAACTGGTCAAAATGTAACATTTTCTAAAGAATTCTTGTTTACAGCAGATAGTTTTGCTACATGCTGTCACCAAAGCAAAGGTGGGAATGGGACACTTTCATTATATTTATTCATTTTTTATGACCATACATGTACATGTATGAATGAAATAAACTAATAAACTCAACTAAAAGAAATAAACTAATTAACTACTTAAAAGCATTACTGACCATTTTAAAGACAATAATTTCCCAGATTTCTACATCATGATTAAAATAAAATATGCAAAAACAAACGGTTATGACCTCATAATTAATATACATGAATCATTTTATATAAACTCTTTGATTGTGGTTTCTATTACCTTTCATTTGGTGCAAATTTCATCTTAATCTGAGCAATATTGAAGAAGATAGGGACCAAACACTGAAAAGAGCCCTTAAAAGTGGGTGTGGCATATTTACTTTGTTACCATAGCAACGCTTTTACGGATTCAGAATTGCATTATCTATAACCTTCCATTTGATGTAAAATCCATCAAAATTTGAGCAATAACGACGGAAATAGAGACCAAATACTGGAAGGAGCACCTAAAATTGGGCGTGGCATATTTATTTGGTTACCATAGCAACGCCGTCGCGGATTCAGAATTGCCACAATTTTTTCTTGATCAGTATCACTTCTAGTTCATGAAAACATATGTCGCTTAGCTCGCCTCTATTCCCAGACTACTAACAGTTTGGGGGTTTCTCCAAAGCTATCGTTAAGTTGTTAGGGGAATGACGTCACATTACATTGCATTTCAATGAGAGCCGGCTACGAGTATTACGTCATCAATATGGGTTGGGGTATGAGTACCGTAATCCAACACCAAATTCGAAAATTCATAACAATACTTTGCACATATGGCGTTCGTGACCAACTATAAAACGCTTACCCCCCATAGTGTTATATATCAAAATGTACCTGTTCATATAGGGGTTCGATTGATCTACATCAAATTATAGGGAGTCAGGTTACTTTTTGAGATATCAGCGTCCATTTATTGTGACTCGCGTTTGCTACCACTTCCTCAATTCTGATATGATGGGCAAACGCGTAGTAAACATGCTCACGTCGGAACTATTTTTGACCTACATCGCTATTTTCGTAATTCAAATGAAAGTTGAACTCCTCCTCTTTATTTTGATACCAAATAGTGGCATACTAGGTACCCTAGAAGCCAACTATGGCGTTATTTAGAACAATACCACGAGTTTTTAAATGGACTATATAGGGGTCATACCTTTTGGCGGATGGATATGGAACCTCATACCTTGGATGGTATTGAGACATTCATTGTGACATTTGTTTTTGCAAGTTCTTAACAACGGTAAAATACTTTCACTTTCGTTATTAGAGCACTTTCACATTTGATTAGAAAGCGAAAGAGTATTTATTGCATTTAATTGATGAAAGTGAATCTAATTGATGATATTATTCTTAAAACTAATTTTCATTGTTTTCTAAGCCCTTGATAGTTATATACATCCTTTAATCAGTCATATTTGTTATAAAGTCAACAGATCAACATAAGTACAAGAAAACTCACATGAATCACAAAACTATCAACGCTATGATCATCAGGTGTGATGAACCCAAAACCTTTCTCATCGTTAAACCACTTGACAGTTCCCGTCAATGCCCTGGATCGCAGAGATTCTTGCAACCTAGAAATAACACACGTGTTTACTGCACACTCTTCAATAAGTTAGGCAAGTTAAAGTGTTCATTGTTTGACATAGTAAAGGGTGGTCAGAAAAACGGCAACCCTAGTTTTTCCTAATATTTTTGTCATTCTAAGAAATACCTCCCTGATATTTTACACATGTGTACATCATTCAATTTCCTACCAATCTACCGTATTTCATGACCATCGGACTGATAGTCACAATATTACTGAATTTTAAGCAACATGCCCAAGATGGCTGTCTGAACTGGTCTGTTATTCAGATGAACTCCATTTCAAACTTGATGCACTGGTGAACTCTAACAATAATGTTTTCTTGGGGAGCCAAGCACTTGATGAAGTAGTGGTGAGGCAACTTCACACAGACAGATGCCCAGTTTAGTGTGTTCTCAGAAGATAAGGTCCTTTACCTTTGATGATGCTAACGAATGTGCAATATCTTTCAACATCAGACTCTATTCTGTGATTCCCATGAACTTAAGGTGAACTCAGGGGGTTGATAGGGAGCAGCAGTGGTTTCAATAAGACAGAGCCATACCCCATATATCCAATGATGACCAATTATGGCTTTGGGACCACTTCAATGACCACATTATCAGCAGTACAACAGACTATGAATGAGCACCCTATAGCCCAGATATGGGCTATTTAATCTTTACCAGTGGGGATATCCAAAAGATAGAGTATAGGGTAATAATACCAGAACAATATTTGACCTCAAAATTAAGATCACACATGTGTCGTCCAGGCCATTCTTAATGAGGAATGCAGTTATATTATAGTATGCCGCATAACACATGGCAATGTATTAATTTTGGCTGATGACATGAACGTCTTTGTGTTGCTGCTTCATTTCCGGTACAGCAGGAACCTCCTATGTCATGTCATCACCTGCAGCAGGAAGGGCTCTCATTGATATTGATGCGACCTTAGAAAAACACAAGGATATCATGCCGCAACTACTTGCAACTCACACTTTAACAGGCCTTTACACCGTAGCATTCTACTTTGGTGTTGGCAAACATACTGGCCTTAGAGTACTGAGGTCAGGAAAAGTACAAATTGGAGCTGCTTGGAAATGTGACTTTAGGCTATGCATCCTTTGCAGATATCCAAGACCAGGCTACCAAATTCATCTTAGCATGTTATGGACACTCGAAATGTATGTCCCTAACAAAGGCTTGGCAAAAAACATGGATGCAGAAGGTTGAGCAAACAAAACAAAGGCAACAAGGACTGTAGAGAGCTATCAGTTCAATATTTGGTTCATCACCTTCTTTGACATACTTATTTTCATAAAATGTATGTATACACTATCAATTTCAGCATTAAGAAGTGTAAATTCAGTTCAAAGCTTCTATAAAGGGAGTCCCACTCATAGATTTTTAAGATCCACCACGTTTCAAGAGGAATATCAGCTGAAATAATGTTCATCCAGGGGGTTTCTTTGGAGATAATGAAAATGTATGTTAGTCTTGATGAAATATCCAAACTTAAATATATTATGACACCTGTCGATGATCGTGAATGGTCCCCCTGCACTTATTGTTGCACCTTTAAGGAAAATGTATCCAGCGCTCATCTGCAGGTTGCAATTTGGTTGCATTCACTTGACGCAGATCCACCAGAGTTTAACCCCACAAATTATGGATGGACAAAATATGACGATTCTGACCTGCTAACCCCAAAGATGATTCCGTCTGGTGTGCCCTTTATTCCAAACTCTGGGCACTGTTTTCAAAAAGGGCTATGTTAAAATGCTATATTATCTTTGAAGCCAAATTAAGGACAAGTATTGCTTTTTAAATAAGCTGCCCAAAATATTTTGTAAAATATGTGAAAATTGCAAATTTCTTCATTATATCATATTAAAACATAAAAAGTAACATTTCCATTCAATTCCTCAACCCCTAAAACATAGAAATTGACACCAAGAACAAGTTTTTATCATAAATATTAACCAAGTTATGACATTTCAAAGTTTTTATGGCGGCCATATTGGATTTCATGGCGGCCATATTGGATTTTTATATTTTGCTAAAATTCCTCAAGGGTGAGACTTCAACACCCACCCAGATATCACTACAGGTACCCTTACAATGCATAATCTGCAGAGAAAAAAACTTAATCAGACAAAACAAGGAAAGCCCACAGCGTTGCCGGACTATATCATTGATTGGTTTGGAAAACGTGTGCAGGTTTGCCTACAGCACAATGTTGGCCAACTGGGGTACCTTGTTTAAAGTGCTGTAACATTGCGACTATCAGTCCAATGTTCATGAAATGACATAGTCTAGTACGAAATTGAATGATGTACATGTGTACGAAATTTCTAAAAATGACAAAGATATGAGGAAAGTATTTCACTCCAATACTCTACTACAGGGCGTCCACAAAAAAGGATACCCAACTTGAAAGCCAGGATACTAAAATTCTGAGCATTTAAAAAACACAAAGGTAGCACTAAAAGACCGATTTTGTTCTCCATCTAATGGTACCTAGATCATTATGTAACTCATGGATGACTGAGCAATCGTAACTTTTATGAAAGGTGGTAAAATCTGTACTGTGCCAAGTTAGCGTTGATGATATCAGCAATAAATACGTTTCATGAGACTATTTTTAATATTAATGCACGTACAGGAGACTATAATTTCTCGTTAATTCTGTCCCTGGGACAACTTATTCTTAATTTTTTAGATTTACATGTCCAAGCTGACTATATTTTCTGGTTGCCTCTGTCCCCGAGACAACATATCCTTATTTTTCCTTTTATATATGTCCGGTGGACATGTCGTCTACTTACATTTGTCTAGAGACTATAAAAACGGGGTAGTATAGTCCCATTTGTAGTATATACAGGGCGTTCAGTAAGTAAAGCTAATTTTGCTCTCAAATTTTTATTTTGTGTCATTTATCTTTCAAATTTTCAGTGAAGAAGCATTTGACATTTTTCTTACTACCCTGAAAAATTAAATAAGATATGATGAATAATAGCAAAACAATGGTTGTCATAGTAACGTGAATATGGGTTCTGCGGAGCAATTTCTTACTTTAATAAAAATGTTATAATGCAATGAAATTGATTAAGATTAATGCTGCATATGTCTTTGTTTGCTATGGCTGAAAGTCACGACAAACATAACAACAACACACACAAATATGATACCATGGCAACAGTAGTCTATGACATCACAGACAGATGATACAACAGATGGAATAATCCAGAATGATCCATCAGACACTGCTCCATGACATCATCAAAATCATGGCTGCCAGGATTGCCAATGGAAGCAAAATGAACAATGAAATGAAACAACAATTGAGAAGTAGCATCAGATACAATGTGTTGCTAGGGAAATCCAAAAGGGGAGAAAAACAACAAGTGATGAGCCAAGGTCAGGGAAGCCAAAACTTCTAACCAAAGAGGCTAACATGAATCATTTGAGGCAATTGTTAGATGAAGACCGCAGTATAACTGTAAGGGAACTCTCAGAACTAACCAATATCAGCCTAGGATGGGTACATTATCTGATTCACAATTCTCTAAATATGTCCTTGGTGTCTGCGAAATGGGTACCAAAGAATCTGACCGACGAGCAGCGTAGAAATCGCCTGGAAGATTCAGTTGCATTCTTGCGCCGTTACAAAGATGAGGGAGAGGACTTTCTAAACAATCTTCTCACTTGTGATGAAACTTTTGTTCGATACTTTGAGCCAAATAGTACAAGACAGAACAGTGCATGGCGAACAAAGAACTCTCCAACACCCGTGGGGATCGTTGCAAAGCTAGCTCTTGGAGCATCAGCGGGGAAAGTCATGTTTATCATTTTTATAGACATCGAAGGTCCATTGTTGGCTCATGCCGTGCCAGAAGGGCAGACTGTTAACAAGGAATATTATGCCATGGTAATTACATTTTATGAAATATATCTTTCTAACAATTAGCTTGGTTTGAGTACTAGGTCTACGTCTAAAATAATACAAAGAAAACATTTTAACTTAAACATCAAATGATCAAATTCACATTTCATTTTCAGGTGCTGCGGCGCCATCTTGTGAACGCGATTCGCAAGAAGAGGCCCCATAGGACTCTCAACTCCTACATATTCCATCAAGATAATGCGCCATCGCATAGGTCACAAATGGTGCAGGATACTATCCAGAGAACGCTGGAGGTTCAAGGCCAGTCAGCGTATTCTCCTGACAAGGCACCATGCGATTTTTGGGTATTTTCATGTTTGAAAAATGATCTGCGTGGTAAGATCCACGCAAATATCCATGAGCTTCAGAATGCCGTTCAACGTTCACTGACAAAGAACTTTCCAGATGGCTTCCACAGGATATATCAGAAGTGGATAGAACGACATCAGCTGTGTGTGAAAGCTAAGGGGAACTACTTTGAACATGAAATAGAATGCTAACTTGAAAGTAGAAATGTGGAGTAGCCACAGCCACAGAACTATGGTTGAAATATAGACAGGACAGAAACTAACGTTAACAAAATCTACTATGCTGTGAACTTATAAAATTGCTCCGCAGAACCCGTATTCGCGTTACTATGACAACCACCATTTTGCTGTTATTCATTATATCTTGATCATTTTTTCAGGATAGTTAGAAAAGTGTCTGATGCTTCTCTACTAAAAATTTGAACGATGCTAGACAAGAAATAAAAGTTTGAGAGCAAAATTAGCTTTACTTACTGAACGCCCTGTACATTTTAAATGACTTATATTAGAATATGTGAGTATATTGTCATGCATAATTGTTCTCGATTCACTGACTTGAATCATTACTAGAGATATAGCACCACGTCCGTTTGGTTTTTTGTTTGTGAAAGAATATATTTTCTTGGTTTTGGGTGACATAGCAGCATTACATGAACGGTCTTGTATGTCAATAAACTATAAATTATACAGAGACTTCATTTATATACAGGGTGGGCCAAAAAAAACCACCCCCCTAGCTGTTACTCCTGATAAATATTTATTTTCTAACATGTACACCAACAATGATATATCATTTTAAGGATAATTTAATTTGCAACAAAATGATATATAATAGAACAATTTTCAACAACCCTGACTCGAGATATAACCATTTATGTGACATGGGGGTCAAAAAACACCTTTTCAATTTTCATCAATTTTGCGAGCAAAAGCCTATTTCTACCAAATTTTACTGTTTAGTTAAAAATTGAAACATTGTCATGAGTCTTTCATAATTGGATATTATATATTGTTTTCATTCAGTTTTTGAACCATGCATGCTCAATAAACATGTGTATGCTTATGAAACAAATTAATTTCCTCTTCAGTCTGTTCAAATATGGCTCAATAGACCCACCCCCCAGAGCCATCCTCTGATCAGATTATTCGCTTAAGACGCGGAAGCCATTGGTTGATGGCATAATTGATGGATGTATGCGGAAGTACCATTCAACTGCTAGTTATTCTTTCTTTTAGTTCCTCTACATCCCTGATAGGCTTGGTATCTTTAAATACCAACTGTTCTAGATACCCCCAGGTGTGGTAATCAACATTATTGGCATCTGGACTGCCAGTAAGTCATTTGTCCGGGCTAGAGATGGTGTCATTTCGAATCTTCAAAAACTCCAGGGTAGCATTGAACCTGTGTGATGAAACACTTTCCAATCAGAAAATGAAATTTCTTTCACATGTTTTTATATCCTTGAGGAGTCCTTTTTAACACCTCATGTCATTAACATTCAGAGTATATTTTTGCTCCTGGTTCAACAAAAACAGGGTCTGTACGGTCTTTCCTTTTTGGGAAACACCGAGTGGACACCACTACCCTTTCAGAAAAATGTCATCTCGATTTGAGTAGCCTTTTATCGCAAATGTCCCTATTCTTGCTTACTGATATATAGAGTCTATCCTGTTGATTACATGTATAGTACTTGGGGCATTTAGAACAGTTGGTCTATGAAGATCACTAGCCTATCAGGGATGTAGACAGACTGAAAGAATGAATTATTACGAGTTCGATGGTACTTCCACAGAGATCCATCAATTATACGAATGGTTTTCGCGTCTTTAGCGAATAATCCGATCAGAGGATTGGTCCAGGGGGTGGGTTTATTGAGCCTTATTTGGACAGACTTAAGAAATTAATTTGTTTTATAAGCATACACATGTTTATTGAGCATGAGTGGTTCAAAAACTGAATGAAAACAATATATATAATATCCAATTATGAAAGACTCATGACAATGTTGCAATTTTTAACTGAACAGTAAAATTTGGTAGAAATATGCTATTGTTCGCAAAATCGATGAAAATTGAAAAGGTGTTTTTTGACCCCCATGTCACATAAATGGTTATATCTCGAGCCAGGGTTGTTGAAAATCGTTGTATTATATATCATTTTGTTGCAAATTAAATTATCTTTAAAATAATATATCATTGTTGGTGTACATGTAAGAAAATAAATATTTATCAGGAGTAATGGCTAGGGGGGTGGTTTTTTTTGGCCCACCCTGTACATATCCATTGACATTTATAACAAGAAAATATGTTCCGCTGTTACT